GTCATTACTAAAAGTCAACCTGGATTTCTCTAAAACAAGTCATGCCAGACTAATCTTATCTCTTTTTTGATAGAGTTACAACCTTGGTAGATGCAGGGAACGCTGTGGATGTAGCATATCTTGATTTCAGTAGGGCCTTCAACAAAGTCCCTCATGACCTTCTTGCAAGTAAACAAGTCAAATGTGGGCTAGGCAATGCTATTATTAGGTGGATCTGTAATTGGTTAAATGACTGTACCCAAAGGTACCAATGGCTCCACTTCATCCTGGAAAAAATTAAAACATTTAAAAAACACCAAGATATCTCTACCCTACATTTGAAGTCTATGTCATGTCATGAACACAGTAGGTTGCTGTTTCTTAAGTGAGTGGCTCAGTAGAATTTGGAGCCCCCAGTGACGCAGTGGGTTAAACTGCTGAACTGCTAAACCGCTCTGACAGGAAGGTAACAACACGCCATGCAGTCATGCTGGCCACATGACCTTGGAGGTTCTACAGACAATGCTGGCTCTTCGGCTTAGAAATGGAGATGAGTACCACCCTCCAGATTTGAACACGACTGGACTTAATGTCAGAGGAAAACCTTTACCTTTACCTCAGTGGAATTTAATGTGTGTGATGAAGTAGTAGGACAAAGTACTGTGAAGCAACTGGAAAACCAAGATGATGATATACTTATTCATCATTTTTTATTATCGTTCTTCATTGTTGACTGGTATATCAGGACAGAAGAGGCTTTATGTAGGAAAGTAATCATTGGCAAGAGATAGCTAAGTTAGAACTGGAATTATTCTTACAAGGTCAGAGATATGAGTGAGCAGAAAAGTTTGTGGTAGGTTTTGAAAAAAGAATCCCAGAGAGCTTATTACAATGTTTGGGAACATTTTGCTGATACTGACCTCCATGAAGTAAATGGCACTTCTCATAATAATTTGAGGACGTTGGAGTCCAATGAAGGTAAAGGCACATTATATGCCATCTGCTGCAGGAAGAGTATTTTGCAAACAAATTGTTCCTTCTCCTTCAAAAAGTCAGACTTCCATAGGTGGTTTCTGTATACCGAAGCATCTTTAGTCTTGCCTTTCAGAAACAAGAAATGCAGGGGATAGCATTCCTGCGGTGAAAGTGCCTGCTGCTTCATCAGCAAAATGGTTTATAGCTACAGCATCTCAGGAGATAAGTGTTATATTTCCTCCTATGAGATAAGTGTTAACACAGTTAGTCCTTCTATGAGACAACTGAACTGTGGCAATTTCAGCAACATCTCACTGCGTTCAAATGGAAATGCTAATTAGCAGCACAGCATTTTCACCAGACAAGGCTTGCATGAAAAAATACTATCCTGAAAAGGCATACAGCCACATTATTATTTTACTGTTCCAGTCTTACAGTCCTATTGCTTTTCATGTGCATTTTGGCTGACATTTTGGCCTTTTTGAACTAAAGGTTTTATCTTCTCAGCTAAGAACAACTTCCCAGCTATTGACTTCAAACTGAAAAATAGAGCTAAAGTCGAGAATCGGCAAGACGCCAGTTTTAAAGGAATTGCACTGGCTGTTTATATTCAAGCTGCTGGAAATAACATTAAAACCACGTTGGGACCTTGATAGATGACAGTGGGCCTGAGATTTGAAGTCTGCTGGAGGGGCCCTCCTTTGAGTTCCACTTGTCAGGCCAATACATTGTGGGAGGACATAAGATGTGGGGGAAAAAAGGGAAAATGCTGGTTGCAAAAAGAATAATCCAACCCAAAATACGTTATTTCTATCTACTATATTTGATCCACACTATAATATTTGAGTGTGTTTTTTCTGTGGTGACTTTTGGTTTCCTACCAGTGAAAACAGTGAGCACCCTGTCCTCCTGGCCAAGTTGCTAAATGCTTAACTCATATCTGCACTTCATTTTTTTTTTGTCGTGTCAGGAGAGACTTGAGAAACTGCAAGTCATTTCTGGTGTGAGAGAATTGGCCGTCTGCAAGGACATTGCCCAGGGGACGCCCGGATGTTTTGATGTTTTATCATCCTTGTGGGAGGCTTCTCTCATGTCCCCACTTGAGGAGCTGGAGCTGGTAGAGGGAGCTCATCCGCCTCTCCCCGGATTCGAACCTGTGACCTGTCGGTCTTCAGTCCTGCCGGCACAGAGGTTTAACCCACTGCGCCACTGGGGGCTCCATCTGCACTTCATGACTTGTCTTCTTCTGTCCCAAGGAATCAAGGCTAGAACTTCAGTGCAATGTTTTTCTCTGAGGCTGTAACTGATTTATACAAGATTATTTATTTTTTATTTGTGAATAAAATAAGGGAATGAATAAGGGAAGGGACCACGTGGTTCAGAGAGGGAACGGCACACTGATGGCGGGAATATACTTCATAGCTGCATTTGGTGGAAGGATAGAAAGGAGGGGAGAGTTAGGATAAGGTTTAGAATAAAGTTTATGGTTTGGGTTAGGGTTAGGGGTTAGGCTTACGGTTAGGGAAAGAGTTAGGGTTAGGGTTTTTTGTTTTTCTTTTCCCGTGTCAAGAATGACTTGAGAAACTGCAAGTCGCTTCTCATGTGAGATAATTGGCCATCTGCAAAGACATTGCCCAGGGGACACCCGGATGTTTTGATGTTTTATGGGAGGCTTCTCTCATGTCCCCGCATGGAGAGCTGGAGCTGATAGAGGGAGCTCATCCATGCTCTCCTTGGATTTGTGAACCTGTGAGCTGTCAATCTTTAGTCCTGCTGGCACAGAGGTTTAACCCACTGTGCCACCGGGGGCTCCAGGGTTAGGGATTAGGCTTTGGGTTAGGGTAAGGGTTAGGGTTTGGGGTTGGGTTTTACCATTAAAGAACTCTTGGTTATAGTATGATAGCTGGGTCTGGAAGCTCCGAGCATTCCGGAGATGCTGCAAGGCGGCTGTGAATAAGGGAAGTAAGGGAGCAGTGAGAGCGGGGAGAGCGAGGGAAGGATAGAGAGGAGAGGACGCTTAGGGTAAAGGGTAGGACAAGGTTTAGGGTTTGTGTTTGGGTTAGGTTTATGATTAGAGTGAGGGTTGGGGTTACATTTAGGGTACACTTTAGGGTTTGGGTTAGCGTAAGGGTTAGGGTAAGGTTTTGGTTTAGAGTAAGGGTTAGATTAAGAGTTTGGGTAAGGGGTTAGGCTTAGGCTTACAGTACGGTTCAGGGTTAGGGTTTCCCCATTAAAGAACTCTTCCATTCCTTGTATATTATCTGTCTCCGGCCTGGCTTACATTAGCTAAGTCTCTCTTGCGCAAACAGCGCTCCCGAAGGAGCGATGTGGCATCTCCATAACGCTTGGAGCTTCCGGACCCAGCTATCATACTATTACCAAAGTCTTACATCCCTTCTATAATATCTGTGTCCGGCCTGGCTTATATTACCTCAGTCTCTCACTCAGCCCCCCTCGGTCATGTGTTCTGTTCTGTGTTACGCAAACAGCGCTCTCAAAGGAGCAAAGCAGAAACAGCGTAACACTCAGAGCTTCCAGACCCAGCTATCATACTATCACCAGGCTTTGTCAAACTACAACTAAGGATTCCAAAGCATAGAGCCATGGTAGTTAAAGTGGGATCAAACTGCATTAAATCTACAGTGTACATGTAGCAACATAAGTCTTTGGCCTGCATGAGAACACACAGGAATACATCGGTGGCGCAGTGGGTTAAAGCCCTGTGCCGGCAGGACAGGTTGCAGGTTTGAATCTGGGGAGAGGCGGATGAGCTCCCTCTATCAGCTCCAGCTCCTCATGCGGGGACATGAGAGAAGCCTCCCACAAGGATGATAAAAACATCAAAAATTATCCGGGCGTCTCCTGGGCAACGTCCTTGCAGACGGCAAATTCTCTCACAATAGGACACTCCTGACACGACAAAAAAAAATTGCAGAAATATTTGCCTAAGAATCCCTTTGGAAGGAGACTAAACATGATTTGTTTAGAAATGAGCATGTTAGCTAGGAATCCGTAAGCATTGAACTCTAATCATAGAATTGAAACCCAATTGTCATAGCAGAACAATAATTAGATTTGGTTAAAGATGTCCCGCCAAAACAAAGTTTGTGGAGTCTAATCAACTTTTCCCCATGTTTTGATGAGTGAACCAATTGGGAAATGACACTTTATAACCCAGGAACAAAAATCACGTAAAATCATAAAATTAAAGCTAGATGAAGAAAGATAGATGCTTTTGAACTGTGGTGTTGGAGGAAAGTTCTGAGAGTGCCTTGGACTGCAAGAAGATCCAACCAGTCCATCCTCCAGGAAATAAAGCCCGACTGCTCATTGGAGGGAAGGATACTAGAGACAAAGTTGAAGTACTTTGGCCACATCATGAGGAGACAGCAAAGCCTAGAGAAGACGATGCTGGGGAAAGTGGAAGGCAAAAGGAAGAGGGGCCGACCAAGGGCAAGATGGATGGATGGCATCCTTGAAGTGACTGGACTGACCTTGAAGGAGCTGGGGGTGGTGACGGCCGACAGGAAGCTCTGGCGTGGACTGGTCCATGAGGTCACAAAGAGTCACTGAACGAATAAACAACAAGGTAAAGGTTTTCCCTTGACATTAAGTCCAGTCGTGTCTGACTCTGGGAGTTAGTGGTCATCTCCATTTCTAAGCCGAAGAGTCGGCGTTGTCCGTAGACACCTCCAAGGTCATGTGGCCAGCATGACTGCATGGAGCGCCGATTAAAGCGAGATTAACAAGGGAAAATAACCATCAGAAAGGAAGGAGGGAGTCTTTGTTTGTGTGTGTGCATTTTGTTGTTATTTTATAATGTTTTGTTCTGTTTTTATATAGTTCTTGTTATCATGTGTGCGCGAGTTTCTTTGTGAAGAGTAGAAATGGCTTAGTTCTAGAGCGGAGTCTGTCCCAGTGACGTCACTAGGGACGCAGATTTCTCTCCCCCCCCCCCCCCCCCCCCCCCGCGCCTAGAATTACAATATTTATTCCTTCCGGAAGTCCCACCTTCTCTTTTGTAGCTGATTGGCAGGCGAGTTGGCGGAAGTGGCGTCATCGCAGCAGCGTCAGGGCGCGCGCGCACTTATGGCGGAGCTCTGGAGCTGACGGTAAGTTGTGGGGAAGACAGGGAAGCGGAAGTTTCAGTTTGGGGCCTTTCTTCTCTCTCTCTCTCTTTCGTTGTCTCTCCGTTCGAAGGGAGGTGGCGGGAAAAGGGCAGGAGTTGCTTGGCAACGGCCTTCCCGTTTGGGAGGGCGAAAAGGCTTCACATCTGTTCACTGTTCGCCTTAGTTCCCACTCCCTCTCCCAAGTTGACTCCCCAGGCCTCTTGAACTCCCAGGGCTCGATGCTATGGAAACCTGGGAGCTGTGGGTTGATGAGGTGCCAGCGCTCTTCAGGCGAGAAGGCTCAAGGTCTTGTTAAACTACGACTCCATTGCATTGAGCCATCGCAGTTACAGTTGTGTCACACCTCACTAAACCTACACTGTAGTGAAGAAAGCTGAGAGGAAGAAAATAAACACGTCAAAGTGTGTTCTACACGTCTTGCATAGCCAAAAAGACAAATCAATGGGTCCTGGAGCAGATTTGATAATCTGAATTATATGGTGATAGCCATCCCCAGCCTTGCGTTGCTGTGGCCCACATGGGGGTTCTGTGTGGGAGGTTTGGCCCAATTCTATAGATGGGGTTCAGAATGGTCTGTGATTGTAGGTGAACTATATATCCCAGCAACTATATATCCCAGCAATTCCTGCTTCTTGGCAGGGGTTTGGACTGGATGGCCCACGAGGTCTCTTCCAATTCTTTGATTCTAACTACAACTCCCAATTGTCAAAATTCTATTTTCCCCAAACCCCACCAGTGTTCACATTTGGGTATATTGAGTCTTTGTGTAGAGTTTGGTCCAGATCCATCATTGTTTGAGTCCACAGTGATCTGTGGATGTAGGAAAACTACAACTCCAAAACCAAAGGACACTGCCCATCAAACCCTTCCAGTATGGGAGAACTGTGTGCCAAGTTTGGTTCAATTCCATCGTTGTTGGGGTTGAGAGTGCTCTTTGATTGAGGTGAACTATAAATTCCATCAACTACAATTCCCAAATGACAAAATCATTTTTGCGTGAAGGACATACATTGGGTTGTTAGGTGTCTTGTGTCCAAATTTGGTGTCAATTCGTCCAGTGGTTATTAAGTTATGTTAATCCCACAAACGAACATTACATTTTTATTTATATAGGACTAGCTGTCCCCTGCCACGTGTTGCAGTGGCCCAGTCTGTTGATCTGGAAAATAAAGTAATGAGAAAGTGTTGGTTTCTAATATATGTATTTCCTTTATGATTGTGAGTAAACAGTATTTCTTGTTGTTTCTTTGTCAGTGTTGATGTGGAGAGTGTCTGGTTTGCTTACTCTGGAATATGCAACATATCATAGTCCTTCTTTAAGGGTCTCTTTCAAATCTATGATACTATATCTGTGTGTGTGAGAATCATATCTATCTATCTATATTTATGACTGGATGGCTCTTTGTCAGGAGGGCTCTGATTACATTTTCTTGCCCTGGTGAAGAGAGTTGGACTGGATGGCCTTAAGTATTTTCTGTTGGTAGTGGGGGTTCTTTGGGCATATTGGATATTCGTGCCAAGTTTGGTCCAGATCCATCATTGTTTGAGTCCACAGTGCTCTCTGGATGTGGGTGAACTATAATTCCCAAACTCAAGGTCAATGTCCACCAAACCTTTCCAGTTTTTTCTGTTGGTCATGGGAGCCCTGTGTGCTAAGTTTGGCCCAATTCCATCATTGGTGGAGTTCAGAATGCTCTTTGATTGTAGGTAAACTATAAATCCCAGCAACGACAATTCCCAAATGACAAAATCAATTTTTTTTGTGTGGTGGACATACATTGGACTGTTAGGTGTTTTGTCCAAATTTGGTGTCAATTCCCCCAGTGGTTTTTGAGTTCTGATGGCAGCATGAACTAACACTACATTTTTATTTATATAGATTGTAGATCCACCTTGAGTCTGCAAGGGCTGTTGTGGATAGTAGGGTGAGTTGCATGCCTTTTATGCATGGGGTCACCATAAATCAAAGTTGACTTTGTAGTAATTAACAACAACAACCTCCACCACCCTATGTCAGGCTTTGCAGATGTTATTGTTTCTTTACTGTTATTGGAACATATAGAAGAGGGAATTTCAGTAGATGTTACTTGCCCCATAGCTGGGTAACAGTCAAAAACTTCCTGAAGTTTCTACACAGCCATTAAAGGAATAGGAACCCTCTCTAGTTTTCAGTCCGGCTTCCCTAAATTGGAGGCTGCTTTGCAGGGTTGGGTGAATATGCTTCTTTGCCTCCTCTTTCCTCAACCTCTCAATGCCATGGAATAATTTCTTCTGCGACGTGTCACTTCGGATGTGCTGACTTGCTCATTTCTCGCAATTTGTGTGAATATGTATGTGAATGTATGTGAGATCAGTAAATGCAAACCAGTTTTCCGATATCTAACCCCTCCAAGCTGTAATCTGGCCGTGTGGGTTGTACCCATAACTACATCTTTCATCTATGGCATGGTGTGCCTTTCTTTCTGTCTGCCTTGTCTTTTGCAATTCTGCATTTTTTGTGGCTCCACATCATTTTCTACACACACTGACTAATGAATTAACAAGAAAATAATTTTGTGGGTATTTTTAATCTATGAACATTTTTGACAGGTTATAATAGGTCTAGATTAAATAGGAGACTTGCAAAATTGCCTTAGTTGCATTTTCTGGTGTTTAAAAATATGTTGTTTTTTATTTACAGATGAACTGTTTTGCCTGGAAGAATAACAAATATCCTTCAACTTGATTTCTGTACATTGTTCATTATCAATTCAAAGCTTGTAGTGGATCAAGGAAGAAAATGAAGAGTGGGGTGACACAGGTGAATGTAAGTTTTTTTTCTAGATTTTAAAAAAGATATTTTTAAAAGACACATTCCTCATTGGCACTACAGGATGGTATTGACATCATTGGCTTTGCAGGTTGGCAAGGAAGATGGTTGTTACTTCTTTCATAGAAGGAACAAGGCAATGGAATGAGTGACCAGTTTCCTGCTCTTTTTGTGTATTGCCATGTAAAGTGATGGTGGAGGAGAAGCATTAAATAGAGTCTGCTTCCCTGCTTATTCACATTCTCATTGAGAGCCATGAACACTTTTATGTGTGCAGAAAGGAGAGGAGCCAGATATGCATGTGGTGCTTTTTTAAAAAAAAACAGACGACTGATTGTTGGCATTTTATCTAGCTGGCACCAGATCCCATCTGATATTGGAGGAGATATAACCAGGACCTGTTCATTTCAGTTATGTTCAATTAACATTCATTTGTTTGAAACCATAGAGAGTCAGATTCAACCTGCAGAAAAGGTGGAAATGTTGTATCCAGTGTAAATGAGTTCTTTTAGAAGGAAGCTATGGGAACACAGACTCCTCCTAATTGTTGGACTGCTGCTCCCATGAACTCTAGTCACCATAACCAGTGGTGAGGGATGATGAGAGTTTAAATCCAGAAACATCTGGAGAGCTGCATGTTCCCCATCCATGGACTAGCTTCTCAAAACGACTTCATGAGTGGCAAGTGGATGGTAGGAGGGAATGGTGTTTTTCTTTTCTGACTGCAGTCTTTTTGTACAACATCAAGTGCCTCTCTACATCAGATGTATATCTGATGAACAGCTTTCTTTAATGTTCAAGGGAATGTAATGGGGAGGTCTTAGAATACAAGTGGCATACTATTTGTTACAGGAGCCCCCGGTGGCGCAGTGGGTTAAAGCCTGTGCTGGCAGGACTGAAGACCGACAGGTCGCAGGTTCGAATCCCGGGAGAGGCGGATGAGCTCCCTCTATTGGCTCCAGCTCCTCATGCGGGGACATGAGAGAAGCCTCCCACAAGGATGATAAAACATCAGAAATCATCCGGGTGTCCCCTGGGCAACGTCCTTGCAGACAGCCAATTCTCTCACAACAGGAGCGGTTGCTCCTGACACGACAAAAAAAACAAAAACTATTTGTTACGCTCTGGCCGATGTATTTGTACTTTAATTTTAAAATTTGTTGTATTTATAGTCCAGTTCCAGCTATGAAAGGAGAGAAACTAACAATCTTCGACAGAGAAGTTTGTCTCCAGAAGACAGGTAAAAGGGTTTTTTTTCTTTCCTTTTACTGATAGCCCTCCACATTCACTGGGGTTAGAGCACAGGGCACCCTTGAAAGTGGGAAGGCTGAACATTAAACCATGTTTTTTTTTTCCACCTGAGAGAATATCTCTCTAGGAATCTCTAGGTCTTCCTGTGCAATTCTGTGGTCAACATCTGTTGAAACTTGACTATACAATCATATTGGAGGACCTGGAGATTCTTAGAGAGTCCATATTAATGAAATACGCCAAAGTTAAACCTGGAAATGTGGCGTTCAGCTGTACTTGGCATCCCACATAACTAAAGTTCAATAATATTCTTTTCAATAGTTTCATTTACTATACATGTGGATTACATCTAAGGGTACTGGTTTAGGGACAGTAGATCATTTTGAGAATGGGTACTAAAAATACAAGCACAAAAGCTAAAATCACTGCAGGGACTAAAGCAATAGATCTGAGCTATTAAAAGTGTTAGAATATTTCATCAAATGCATTATGTGTTAAAACAATAAGAACTTAAATTGCTCTCAAGAGGCAGATTAGCTGTGAAGAGAAGGTAAATGAAACAGTACCTCTGTAGAAACACACATCTGACACTCTAACGAACCATGGCAGCATTAGCGAAATGTCTGTCTGCTGCTTCGTACATCCATAACCCTTCCCCCTACGCAATAGATGAACAGAGTCATATTCCAGAACAATTCCGTCACTACCATGAAATGATGCAAACTGACATGTGTATTGCCCTTGAAACTTCAGGCTCTAGATTTGGCAACCTTCTGTCTCTGACATGGCACGCACATACATATGTGTACACCTTAAAGGAGAAGAGGGGGTCAGTCTGTGTGAAAGCTGCTTCCACATAAAGTTCTTGTTCGCTGAGCCACAGCCTGTATTGTTATGTCTACTCACACTCTACAAAGAGATTATATGTGTCTGTGTCAGACATGGGCAAACTTTTTAACTGGAGGGCCACATGGGGGGCCAGAGTGTGGTGGATGGGCCGGGCAGGGAGGTAAGGTTTCACACACGGCAGCTTGCCTGGTTATCGCAGTGCCCTGGAAGTTGTGCTTATCAGCATCAGCCCCAGGCAGAGCCTCTTCCTGGCCTGCACCTTGGCCTCCACTGTCACAGGACTCAGCTGCTCCTTGCCAGCACACTCCCCTTCTTTTGGCCCTCTGCCCCCAGTGACAAGGAGGGCAGCTCCTCTTCCTCCTCCACCACCGCTACCTGGGCATACGACCGCCTAGGGCTCTTCTTCCCTTCCGTCCTGCTCGCGTTCTTCTTTCTGAGGGGGAACTTGTACTTGAGGAAGGTGGTGGTGGTAGAGAAGGAGGAAGAGGAGGTGAAAGAGGAGCTGCCCTCATTGCCAGGAGTGGAGGCCTGGAGAACAGGGAACGCAGCTAAGTCCTGTGGAGGTGGAGGCCAATGTGCAGGCAAGGAAGAGGCTCTGTCTGGGGCCGGTGCTGCAGCTGTGTGTGACTTCCCTGGTCTCCTCTCAACATGAGGGCATGAGTGGGCCACCATGTTCTCATGCTTATAGAAAGGTGAAAGAGAGCAGGGCCTGAGAAAAGAGCCCAAAGGGCTGCATCCAGGCCCCGGGCCTGGGTTTGCCCATATCTGGTCTATGTGAACATGCCTAGAACCTCTCTTCAGTCCTTCAAACATAACACCAGAAATTTAGAATTTACGGGGAATTAGGAGGTGGGGTCACTGTATGCATCTTCACTCCTATATATATTTTTAATGCCCGAATAGGGTTGTGGTCCAGTTTAAATAATTTTCATTAAAACATGTTATGAAATCCATGAAATGCTTTCAGTATAGAAAAGTTTACTGCCTCACTTATCTTCCCTCCCAACGCCAGATCCTCCAGCCCTATTCTATAACGTGCTTCTGGCCTAATCAAAATACAGGGTTCACTTTTATCCACAGCTTCAGGTATCCATGGAGGTCATGGAATGTATCATAATAATTTAGTTGAGTCAGTAAAAGAATATAGGAGAGATAATAGATTTGCAATGTGTTAAAGACACTCATCCCCATCTGTCAAAAGTTCACATTAACAAGCAGGCTAAATATACCTTTGTCAGATGTCAGACTTAGGTAACAGAATGTAGAGTAAGAAGGAGTGAGCTGCATCACATGGCACCCAACAACAGGCTGAGGAGCAAGGTAGTTGTTCAAGGTGTGGCACAGAACAGAAAAGCTCCAGTGCTTAAGTACTAAAACCTCTGTTAGATGTCACCCTTTCTACTTTTCATGGTTTTGCAGCATAAGACACGTCCCTTAATTTCAACTCTTATGAATAAAAATAATAATTTAGAAACAATAAATATGTGTCGGTTTGAAGTACTGGAGTTTTGACATCAAAACATAGTTTCCAAAATGTGCAGTTTCCATAATATGTGAAAATCCTTTAGTTTTTTAAATAAAAAACCCCCAAATATTACAGTTTTTCTCTCAATCTTGATGTAGGTATGCAGAACATGGGAGATCTCGGTCACCATCAGGCAAAGGTTATTCGGATCATAGCAGACCTGACCGAGAACATTCAGAAAAGGGACGTTATGGTGACAAATACACGGAGTCAAGGTGAATGTCAAGCATTGATGAACTAATTAATGATCAGGCTGCTTAGATTTGAGATAGCTCTTTTGGTTAGCTTCTTTTCTATTTAAATCAGTTTAATAGTGTATCTGAGACTGCATGATAAGAATCTCTTATGAAGTTCCTTTCCAAGAGATGTTAGGCTATCTGAATGCTTGTTATATATACACTGGTAAATCTTTCTATTTTAGCTGGTTTTCCTCTCTGACTGCCTGTTCTGGACACTGGTTATGAAATTATTTTGATCAACTTCTAAATATTTTTTCTTTTTTTCTTAATAGACAGTTGTAAAAGATTGCAAGGGAATATATGTTTTAATAATATGATTTAATTTCTATTTTAATATATAGAGTTTTCACTGAAACTGTTCAAAACTATATTGGAAGCTGCTTTGCATCTCAAAATCATGGAGAAATGCAGGCTATAAGTAGAATTTACTTGTGATCTCTGTAAAGTCATCCAGATGAGTTTTAGCATCTGCGCAGAAGCCTAAGAACATTCTAGAGCTGAGTTGTTTTTGGTGAGAGGCCTACCTCTCCCTTCTCAACACACATATCAAGCATTATTTGGCTAAATCTCATTTTTTTAAAAACCCACAGTGTTAGTATCTTCTGTTGGAACATTCTCCGTGTTGCTGAGTGACTTACCTCATGATCCTTACAGTACAATTTCCCCATAATTTTCTTAATATTATTCCGTTTATCTTCTATTTTGAACTACTTTCAATTAGTTTATTTACTTTCAAGTTACAGTGCAAATATTCTAGTAGTGTGAATGTTGTAATCGTTTTTATGCTTCAGGGGGAGAGAAAGGCAAGAAAGAGAAAGGGAATCAGATCGGAGAAAATACCGAAGGTCTCCTTCACCTGACAGAAAACATGCAGCAGATAGATCAGCACCGCATGATGAACCCCTTCCAAAAAAGAAGAAAGAAGAGGTGGATCCCATTCTTACCCGCACAGGGGGTGCATACATACCTCCAGCAAAGCTTCGAATGATGCAGGCACAAATCACTGATAAAAATAGGTAAGTCTTTATTAAATCAAAGAAGTCATATCTACTTTCCTTCACTAGGATTTCAAGCTCATCTTGTTTCTTTCCCAAACTCTGTATATTATGTTACAGGCATCTAAAACTGATTATTATCATGTTCTGTTCTGTTATGAATTCAACTGTGGTTTCCACTCTTTCATTCAGGTTCTATTCTAGATTTCACATCGTTTTGTTTAGAGTCTGCTTTTATATAGGTGTTTGATCTATCCTCTCCATCCTCACAGGGATTTAGTTTAATTTCGCTTTGATCCCAGTGATCCCTTGTCTCTTTCTGTCTTCCTCTGCAACTTTTTCTTTATTTCTTTGTAAAGGAAGGCTCCTTGATTACCCTACTTGCCCCAGGTGTTCACTGCTGCTGCTGCTGCTGCTGTCACTGCTGCTTCTTGGCCAGGAAGAGCGGGCCCTGGAGGCTGAGCGCCTGCTTGGCTTTCCTCCCTCCCTATCACCCTCCCTTCCTTCTCCACCCCTCTTTCCTCTGTTGTCGCCACCTTGAATTTTCCAAAAGGCAAATTTATGATGATCATATTTGTTGTGCTTGACTTGCTGTATAGTTATCCAAATATGTATGAATAAAGTCAGTTGCTTAATTTTGATTGGCATGGTCCAGATTTGTCGAAGGCCATTGCTAACCATATATAAAACACTGGGATGACAGATAGCTAGAGAGTAAAGCTTTCTTTCTTAGGCCTCTTCTACACTGCCCTATATCCCAGGATCTGATCCCAGATTATCTGCTTACTCCAGATTATATGGCAGTGGAGATTTATATAATCAAGTTCAAAGCATATTATCTGGGATCGGATTCTGGGATGTAGGACAGTGTAGATCTAGCCTTAGTTGTCTCATGATATGCCTTTGGGGGTGGTTGTTGGGAATGGCAAAACTAAGGTCATGATTCAGTGTTATCAATGATATCGATTTATTGGCATAGCATGTATTCAGTGTGGCTAATTCTTCTGCAAATAATTTGCTCATAAACAATGGAAATTGGCATGTAGATGTGGTTTTATGCATTATGCTCAGGAAACATGTCCCTCAGAAAGTGTTATAATGGGTTAAGTATTCAAACTGACTAAGAACCGAATTTGTAACTCAAGTCATTTTACTATTTTAGTGCATAACTTAATTTGTCACGTTTGGCACACAGTTTAGCGTATCAAAGGATGAGCTGGGAAGCATTGAAGAAATCTATCAATGGTCTCATCAATAAAGTGAATGTTTCAAATATTGAGAATATTATTCATGAACTCCTTCAAGAAAATATTGTGAGAGGAAGGTGAGTGTCTAGCTCTTAAAACAGAGCCATCTGGTTATTTTATATTCATGGAGCGAATCTTATGTTGTCCATAAGGTTTTTGTTAGTCAGTTCTTATTTGGATAATATTTAGGGTTTTTAGAGCAGTTTGATCTCCCTTCTATCGGTCTGAAATAAGGTTATACCTGGGAGAGTTCTGTGGGTCTCAAATAAGGCTTATCTGGAAATAAGACCTATTGAATTAAAATGTTTGATCTTTCTTATTTTAAAGGCTTTGTAATTGAATGTGGGAATAAGTGAAATTGGTAATAAATTTGCCACTGCACTTTTCAAATCAAGCACCAAGCAGTTTCTGTTGGTAGAGTATACAATTATAGAACTTGATTTTTAAAATTAGTAGGTTTGTTGCAAAGCTTTATGAAATACCTTCTGGTCCTCCTAATTCAACTTGATGTTTTCTGATTTGTGATTGTAAACATAGCTTTTAGATAGGAGGAGTTTTTGTGGGGCTTGGGAGTGACCAGAAAAGAATAATTATGTAACTTGGAGGGGAAGGAGGAGAGGATAGAATAGAATAGAAAATAATGGGTAAACATTAATTAGTGACATGAAATGCATAATATTGAAGAGAACAGCAATTTGTTTCTGTAACACACTACTCATTAGCTGTCTCATTTTCTTCTTAAATTATAGTTAGCTCTAAGGAGACATGGCAATTCTGTTAGAAGTTGTTGTTCTTGAAGAAGAATAAACTGGCATAAGATGATCTAGTAGTACACAAAGATCCTTTTCTAATATCCTTCAAGTTCCTTAATAACACATTAGAATGTGAATGAACATGTTTCTCCAGGACAGTGGGAGCTTTGTAAATATTTAAAACTTATGGGCAGTCATGAAAATAACTTTATGGCTGAATTAGGAGGAAAATTATATTCATTGGAAATAATTAACGTTTGTACTTTAATATCAACTCTTGACTGGATTTCATCTTGCATAGTACTTAAATGCATTTGAGCTCTAGCCAAGGCATTTTCCTTTAGCCAGGTTACTGCTTAGCTTGAGGGCTATAATTTACTTTTTATTTGTCTTAATTTTTAAAAGGTTTCAAGTTATTTCCTCCCAATTGTGTAGCGACCTCCCCTGGTATTTCCTCAGATGATATTTTTGGAAAATACTGTAGGATTTAACACAAACTTGTTCTGGCAATGTCCACTTGATAGATGAGAAAGCAGTATGAAATGGATATTTTTCAATAGACTTTACTGGTTTAGATGGGGGGTTTTTCATGTCAGGAGCAACTTGAGAAACAGCAAGTTTCTTCTGGTTTGAGAGAATTGGCCGTCTGCAAGGACGTTGCCCAGGGGACACCTGGCTGTTTTACCATCCTGTGGAAGGCTTCTCTCATGTCCCCACAGAGAAAAATGGAGCTGACAGACGGGAGCTTACCTCGCACTCTGGATTCAGCCACCGACCTTTTGGTCAGCAGTCCTGCCAGCACAAGGGTCTAATCCATTGCACCACTGGGGGTTCCATTAGATGGGTTTACAATGATTTATAGCAAGAGCAAAGATGAGTTGATTGTTGCTGTCAGAAACGCTGGTCCGCTCAAAATACAATGTCTGAACACTTGAAAGACTAGATGATTGCAGTATAAACTTGAATTAAGGATCATAATGGAGCAGCGAAGAAGATGGAAAGCCAGGGATGCTCTTAATGAATATTATGTAACTGTATTTGGCACAGGACTGTTGGTGAAATTGAAATCCCAAGTTAATCCAATCTCCTTCAAACCACAGGGATATATGCTGACATATAACTTACACAGTTAAAATAAAATAGCTTAGATCGAGATGGAGGTACCAGCATCCTTTCTTCCCTGCAATAATTGTGTCAGTATCCCCAAAATGGAGGCACAAAGGATGCTATTGAGCAAGACAAACTGTTGTGCAGTAGATTAGAAGAGTCCCTTTACAAAATATGCATCTTCTCAGTTTTCCAGGACTCTTCCTCTCAGTTGCTGAAGCCATAGCTTGTCCCTCTCAACAGGGTTATTTGATTCTCAGGATAGGATTTTAATGGAGCTGAAGGGCCTGCTGAAGGGTGGGGGGGAGAGAGGAGTCGAGGGACTGCTTTCCCCCAGCCCTCTTGTCAATGCCTTTGTGTAAATTCAACCTGCACACTTCTTTTATTTTTCTGGGGAAAGTACTTCATGACTGTATTCTCATTTACAGGGGATTACTGTCAAGATCAATTCTGCAAGCTCAGAGTGCTTCTCCAATCTTCACTCATGTTTATGCAGCAGTTGTAGCAATCATCAATTCCAAGTTTCCAAATATTGGAGAACTGATACTCAAGAGGCTCATTTTGAATTTTCGCAAAGGATACAGAAGGAATGATAAGGTATGCACAAAAAGTTACTGTGCAAAGTGATAGGGCAAGATTTATTATGCTTTTCTCTTGCTCATATCTCAAATACTGCTATGAAGAAGTGACAGTGTATTGAGTGAGATTGATTTCCACATTAATGGGTTTAGAAACCTTGTGTTTTCACCACAGTTTTTGGAAATGTTGAAGCCAGAAGTCGGTAACTCTCTCTTCCCCCACCCCATGCAATGGATCTGCTAAGAAACTGAAATATATCCAGTGCTTAATTTCTTGGCTATGAATCTTGCCATACGAACATACAATGCATTACACTAACCTAGCAGATAAAACTGCACTCCTCCTGTATTTATGAATTTCAAAAGTAAGAACATCTTAATTTTATTCAAGATAATTACAGACTTAGAACTCCCAGAAATCCCAGCCAGTTTACCAGCTGTTAGGATTTCTGGGAGTTGAAGGCCAAAACATCTGGGGACCCGCAGGCTGAGAACCACTGACCTAGGTGTTTAGGACTCAGACTCTTACAGTTCTTACTCTCATAACGGTTATATCATTATTAGATTTCACAGCGTCTTAAGTTCCATATTTGATCCATGTACTATTGGTTTAGAGACTCCTTTGGAAGAGATTATACATTTTCATTATAACACTCAGCTAAGAAGGCTTTCTGGGTATGAATCTATGGATGGTGAGAATTCAGCAACACCCCATCACTTAACATCTAAATGAATTCTGCTTTTTTCTCAGTTGCAACAAGTGAAATGTTTGGAGTTTGTCCAGTACTTTATGCCTGATGAGCACGTTGCATGGTGAATTCTCAGAAGGAGGGTTTTGCTTAATAACTTGCTCGTTATAAAATTAATCACTTTCTAGGAAAAGAGAAATGAACTATCCAAAACATGTTGTTGCCTATTTAAATTCATTGTTAGATACTATCACCGTTGCTGTATTCAATTAAATTGTATATGCAAGTCACTTAAAGTCCTTGGAATAGCAAAAGATATAAAAGAATAGAAACACCTTCAAGTGTTTTTTTAAAATCAAAATAATAATACATTTGTGTATTTATTTGCAGCAACTTTGCCTGACAGCTTCGAAGTTTGTTGCACATCTAATGAATCAGAATGTGGTAAGATACTCTGAGTTACTAATAGTGTATCTGAAATAATTGTAGCTTCTGATATGCCCTGTGGAGCCAACTTCAATGTCTGATTTTGTTTCAAGTAGTGAGGTTTTGTGGGTAGCATTTGATGAATGCAGTTTTGAGGCTTATTCCCCACCTGGGTGATATACAAACATACATATTTATTTATTTACAGTATTTATATCCCACCCTTCTCATCCTGAAGGGGACTCAAGGTTGGTCACAACACATATATGGCAGACATTCAATGCCGTTTATACATTGACAAGACAGACACTTGTACACAGATAAAGGTATATGTAGACTTTTCCCCATCTTTGTCATCTTGGAGGCTTGTGCTCGGTTCCAGCCACAGGGGGTGCTGTTGCTCCATCTCCCTGTCAAAGAGCATTATTCGTAAACTTCACTTCCAACCATGGGTCTTGTTATATTTATTTCATTTATTTATTTGTCATATTTATATCCTGCACTTTTCAACCACGAAGTTGACTCAGAGCAGCGTACGTAAAGGCACAATTCGATGCCATACACACATCTCCAGCAAATAAAACATATACAATTTAAACAACTGTCAAAACATTTCAACATTAAAATGATTAAAATCACATAATCCAGTATCATAATCCAATGCCATTCCGATTATCATTGCACCATTCCACTTTCACTTATTGCTCTCTTAAATTATCCAAATGCTTGGTCCCACATCCAAGTTTTCAGTTTTTTTCCTAAATGTCAGGAGGGAGGGGGTTCCATAGCCGAGGGGTCACCACTGAGAAGGCCCTGTCCCTTGTCCCCACCAACCGCACCAGCAGGGAGGGTGGAACCGAGAGCAGGGCCTCCTCAGAAGAACTTAATCTCCAAGGTGGTTCATAGAGAGAGACACGTTTGGATAGGTACACTGGTTGAAAAGTCCAGAAAGCCACTTCTGATATGCCCTGTGGAGCCAACTTCCAGTCCTAGGACAGATCTGGATACCCCCTTTATTGCAGAAACTTCAGCAATAAAAACGGGGCTGTCCAGACAACATTCTGGACAATCCTGAATTAATTCGCCACAAACCCTGGTTTGTGGTGAATTAATTTGATAATGGGTTTATCCCACGCCTTCCAAGAACTCCCTCGCCAATAGCCCTAAATCGCCCTTTTCTACACAGCCTCCACTGGAGAGCTGTGTAGAAAAGACATGCCAGGAGAATGGGGGGGGGGAGGAAAATTGTCCCCCCCCCCCCTTTATCCTGGTGCGTCATTTCTATGTGCCAGGCAAGCCGACGCAATGGAGGCTGGGTAAGTACTTTTATTTTTAAAGGGGCCAGTCATGGAAGAACATGTGAACACCCACTCCAGAAAGCATGTGCTTTGTGGGGTGTGTATAGACAGGGCCCTAGGAACATCCGCGTTTTTTAAACGCAGATGCTCCTGGGATAAAGCGCTGTCTGGAAAGACCCTTAGAAACTCCCCTGAGCTACCGGAACTGGGGCTGTGGCTGTTTTTTGAGAACCAACTGTCCCAAACACTTCTTGATGAATTTCAGTTCATTTTGGAAGCAGTACTGATTTTTTTTGTCTAGTATCTTAAAGTTAGATGTGAAATATGTATAGTCAAATGAATTTGGTGTTTGTTGTTTAACAAGAGTCTTTAATTTGTTATTCCTGGTAAGAGTCATGAAGTTTTATGTTTGGAGATGTTGACATTGCTTCTGGAAAGACCCACAGATGACAGCGTTGAAGTGGCTATTGGGTTCCTTAAAGAATGTGGCCTCAAGTTGACTGAAGTGTCTCCAAGAGGTGTTAATGGTATGAATATACTTCTGAAACCTTTCTTTTGTGACTTCCATTGTTTTATATGATGTATTTCTTTCCTGTCTAAGTTCAGTGAATCTCAGAGCAAGGTTAAAGAAAGAGAGGGCTAAAATGGGCCAGGTTATTATACTAAACTACAATTAAATAGTCATATTAAAGAACACTGGATCAAATGTTCATTATCAGTCTGTTTAAAAGCTCTTTTCCCCACAGCTGTCAATTGACCTTCCCCTTGGTTCTGTTTTTAAATTAACAGCCATCTTTGACCGCCTTCGTCATGTTCTGCATGAATCCGAAACTGACAAGCGAGTTCAGTACATGATAGAAGTCATGTTTGCTGTGCGCAAAGATGGGTTCAAAGATCACCCAGTAATTCCAGAAGGATTGGATCTTGTTGAGGAGGAGGATCAGTTCACCCATATGCTGCCTTTAGAAGATGACTACAATCCAGATGATGTTCTTAGTAAGTACAACACGGAACTGAACTTGTCAATCTATAACTTGGAATTGCTATACTGCTATACTGTTGCTATTTGTTTTCTTCGTTGTAATTTCCTTTTCTCTTTTTCTGAAGATGTGTTCAAGATGGATCCTGATTTTGTGGAGAATGAGGAGAAGTACAAGGCTCTTAAAAAAGGTAAGTAGGTCAAGCTCATGCTGGTTTTCCTCCTGAAACAAATCTCTGAGTCGGCTAATATTTTGGATCTAGCAGTATTCATTTATACTCAAGATAAATGAAGGCAACTTGAGCTTTTGTTTGTCTTACACAAGTAGTTCAGAAAGCAATTTGATGTTTATTTTACCCAAACGTCAGTATGTGCTTTACTGGTTAGTCATTTTTTCCCTTTCTAAAAAAATAATCCAGTCGTGATGTTGGCAATGCTGCCTACACATTATAGTCCCATATTCAGTTGATTGTGTGGGAACATTACAGTCCTTTACCTATACCAGAGCTTTCCAAATATTTCATGTTTGCAACACAATTTTTTAGACAGGCATAATTTTGCAACCCAGTAATTTGGTCTTACTGGCAAACCAGAGGTTAAACCAACTTCTTATAAAAAGGTACGGACACATTACATACATTGTAATAACAAAATGTATGGGGACGCAACATACTTCCAGAAAAGCTTTCATTTGTATTTTTAAATATATATGATTTGTAAGATTTTATTTATCGTGTCATCAGCAACCATACCATTGTATTACATTTCTAACAGAACAAAACAAACAAACAGATAAAAAACACAGATTTTGCAAACTTGGTAGTTGATTAAATGTCCTTTGACCAGTATCTGGCCACTTGGAGTGCCTCTGGTGTTGCCGCAAGAAGGTCCACCATTGTGCATGTAGCAGGGCTCAGGTTGCATTGCAGCAGGTGGTCTGTGGTTTGTTCTTCTCCGCACTCGCATGCCGTGTATTCCACCCTGTAGCCCCATTTCTTAAGATTGGCTCTGCATCTCGTGGTGCCAGAGCGCAGTCTGTTCAGCGCCTTCCAAGTCGCCTAGTCTTCTGTGTGCCCAGGGGGGAGTCTCTCATCTGGTATCACCCACGGATTGAGGTGCTGGGTTTGAGCCTGCCACTTTTGGACTCTCGCTTGCTGAGGTGTTCCAGCGAGTGTCTCTGTAGATCTTAGAAAACTATTTCTTGATTTAAGTCGTTGTATTATTTGTAAGATAATATCTTGCATTTCCAAGATTTTTGTCATTTCTCATGTTTATAGAATATGCCTACACATGGCACCTCACACATTAATGTGTTGCAACACACAGTTTGGAAAGCTCGGGCACACACAGTTATAAGGACATTCTACCTGGATCACTGGGTCTTGCTTCCAAATGATTTATTGTAGCCAGAGACAGCAGTATTTCTTATTTACCTTCTGAAGTTCCCTCTTCTCAATTTGTAGGCTCCCGATCCTTCATACCTTCTCTACCAATGCAGTCAAACCTAATCTCAGTATTTCCTTATATTTTATTCTTTTTTGTAGAAATTCTTGATGAAGGTGACACGGACGCAGAATCCGGTGAAGATGCTGGTAGCAGTGAAGAGGAGGAAGATGAGGAGGAGGATGGGGAGGATAAAGAGGAGGATGAAGATGGTGAGTGTAGTAAATGGATTTATGGACTGCTGCAAGCCATGAAAGTTCAATGTTGATGTCCAATAACATGACCATTGTTCACATTAAAATGTCTTTTATATTGTTTGTATTGTGTGCTGCATACACTATATAAATTAGTGGATGTTTTTGTATCAACCTCAAGGAGTTGCAGTTTGTGATTTGATTTCATTGGCAACAGCAAAGCTGAATATGGCATGTTACCATGTTACTTAGGCCTCTTCCACACAGCTTAACAAAACCCACATTATCTGCTTTGAACTGGAATATATGGCAGTGTGGATTCGGATAACCCAATTCAAAGCATATATAGTGGGAATTTTTGCCTTGATATTCTGGGTTATATGGCTATGTGGAAGGGCCCTTAGTTGCCCTCTCTAGTCAAAGTGAAGGAATTTCCACGGTTTGCTATTTAAAAGATGCCCAGTCAGATTTTTTTTTAAAAAAAAACTAATCTGCCTTTATATATCTGCCTTTGAACACTCTTTTCACTTCAAAAGTGCTTTTTCCTTTGATGTGGGGAAGGAAAAGGAAGCGTCCATTGCTTCTGCGGCATTGAGAATTTCTTAACTTTTTTTTGAAACTCCAGCCTTTTGACTTTCAGAAATACCACCCCCCCCCCTTCCAATCTGCTTGTGTCACCAGACAAAAATATGCACACTCTAAGGTTTTTGCTCAGAAGCACATCAGGCGTGTTCAGTTTTCTTTGCTACTGGGGATTATACTCAGTATAATCCTAACGGCCATTTTATAATAAAGTGCTGTGCCTCGTTGTGTTCTGTTTCTCTTTTTAGCCTCCACATGTCTATGCACGAGCATAATCTATCCAAAGTTAAGCAGTTTTCCCAGATCTATTGAGTTCAGTAGAATTGTGATTACATTTAGATTATTCCCCTTAATAGTGAAATCTAAAATGTTAAACTTAGTTGGACAGGAGGGCAAAGAGCCTTTGAGATGGGTTCTCGGCAATTGCAAAACTCTTTCAAATGACACTGTTTCATTGGCAGTGCTTTTGGGAGAGGAAAATAAATTTCTGTTTCCAGGCAGATAGCAATTAAACATGGTAATTGCAGAAATCTGTCATCACTTGCATTACTCATATGGAAATTGTGCCAGCCACTCCCGTAAGAAATAGGGCATTAATTCATTTTAGAGCAGCTGGCTTAGTTATTGATTCGATGTTTGATCATAAGACACGCTGTTCTGATTATAGACGTGTAGTATCCCTATGTATAGAAGCAAAAACAAGCACATGCACACAGACAGAAATGTTCTTGCACTTGTTAATCAACACAGGGCCCTGCACAGAACATGGTTCCCCTTTGAGATTAACTGGAAAACTTTGTAAACAAGTCTCATTATTCATGGCAAAGCATCTGTTCAATATACCATATCTCATATTCCTCCTGACCTTCAGGACCAAGGTTTTAGGGGTATAGTGGACTGCAGGGAGTCAAGGAGGTTTAGCAGAACATGGTTATGCATCTTGGATATCCAAGTAAAGCCATCACTGGCAATAACCCGTTGTACAGATGACTTCATGGATAATTTTTTGCAGACCATTTCCATTTAAATAGTAGTCATGGGCCCAGTTACTGTCTCATCTGTTTCATTCATGTTTTTGTACTGTTTCGTTCATTCGAAATGCACAAAACAGGTAACCATTTGGTCAGCTGATTTTCAGCGCTCGGCTGTAGGCCCTGGTGCGCCCTCTAACTCGGGGCTTGGCACACTTGAATATAGGCCCTGCCAGGGCCTACAGCCCTGGAAAGCTCTGGCACAGCCTACAGCCGAGCACCTCTTCTTTGGCGTTCAAGGCACTCGGATGTTGGCCCTGCCAAGTCTTACAGCTGAACGCCTCTTACTCGGCGCTTGGCTGTAGGCCCTGGCAGACGCTAGCTCTTTGCTGCCAATGAGCCAAAAATATTCCTTTTTTTCGGTCATGGGACGAAAAAAGCTCATTCGGAAAGGTGCCCGTTTTTGGGAGATGTTTTCGAAAACGAAAATGGCCTTACAAATGAGACAAACCAGAATGGAGAGTATTTATTTATCATGTCAGGAGCGAACCAAAACAGTTGTATTGCATTAAAAACAAACAAACAAACCAAACACAAAGTTTGCGGACTTGGTATTCTATTAAATGTCCTTTGAGCAGTAGCTGGCCACTTGAAGTGCCTCTGATATTGCCGCAAGAAGGTCCTCCATTGTGCATGTGGCAGGGCTCAGATTGCAATGCAGTAGGTGGTCTGTGGTTTGCTCTTCTCCACACTCGCATGTCATAGATTCCACTTTGTAGCGCCATTTCTTAAGGTTGGCTCTGCATCTTGAGGTGCCAGAGCACAGTCTGTTCAGCGCCTTCCAAGTCGCCTAGTTTGGAATGGAGAGTGATTCTGTACAAATATACAAGACTATTAAATAGTATATGTATCGTGCTTTAAAATAACATTATTTCTGAATGCTAATTCCCTGCATTGTTTCTCCTCATTTTTAAAGGACAAAAAGTAACCATCCATGATAAAACAGAAATTAACTTGGTCTCCTTCCGGCGAACGATTTACCTCGCAATTCAATCAAGGTAACATTAAATATATAAATTCAGGAGGAAAGAGGCTTGCCTGAGTTAAAGAATGTGTAAATTAACAGGATATTTTAAATTATCCCCAACAACTAACGTCAGTACTTTATATGAGAGGTCCAAAGCAACATTTCAAATGATGTTTTCATTTGTTTAGTTACTAGTCCTGGTACATTTCTGTTTAACATGGTGTTGTAGCAATAATGACTCATGCATGAGAGTCATCTTGTTTTTGGTCTGTCTGAAAATCTATTGGTTTTGGCTATGATTCATACAGTTATGTGAAGTGGCTAAAACAGAATTTTATGTTTACCAGAATTGTGGAGAAAAATGCTTGTTAATTTCTTTATTTTAATTAAATGTCAGACATTTCAAAAACCGCTGTGGCAGATTTTTAGTCACTGCAATGACCGTATTGATTAATGCTTTTGTTCTGTGCCTGTATCAGCTTGCTTAGTACAACAGATCTGAAGTTCATAGAGCAACAAGGATTTGTTTGTCTTATATCAGATAAATGAACAGGTTATAGCTGGAGAAATAGGTGAGGTGCTGTAGAGGATTTAGGATATTCCTTCAATATTTTTTCACATCAGAAAACATGGAAGGGTAATTGACCTAATTCCCCTTTGTCTCAAAAAGTAGCTTAAATCAGCATTGTTTGAGGCTGCTGTTTTTTTGGGTTTTTTTAACCAAGTCTATTTCAAGCCCACGGGTATTCATTTTTATAATACTGATATTAGCATTGTCAGCACAGCGATGTTTTACGCTATTATGGTCACAAGTCAGTTCTGAATATACTTTTTTGCGTTTTACAGTTTAGACTTTGAAGAATGTGCTCACAAATTGCTGAAGATGGATTTTCCTGAAAGCCAAACGGTAATTCTTTCTAATTCCTCTCCTTCTATTTCTAGAAATAGCACTTTTTTCCCAATCAGATATTGACAGTGTCATATTGCACACCCTATTGTCTCTAATATATAGTAAATCATCTAAATTATAGGCAAAGCTTTATCTTTATAATAAAAATAAACCTAGTAGGAATTAATGTTGTTGAATATCCTTCTTACTGTTGAATATCTGTCTTACATTTATATCCAAATGATAAAAAATGATGACATGCTGTTATTTGTGTAAAAATGTTGGCTCTGCTGAAATACAGTTGTGTAACAGTTGAAAAACATTGAGGCCAGGCAATTCTATTCTAAGACCAGAAGAGAATATTTCCAGAAAGCTGTATTGTGTGGAACTTTGCTGACTCTGTTACTAAACAACTTTCGCAAAATGCTCACCTGCAAGTCAAAATGAAGAAAGCCAGAGCTCTTTTAAACTGAGTTGCTGTGAGTTTTCTGGGCTGTATAGCCATGTTCCATAAGCATTCTTTCCTGACGTTTTGCCTGCATCTATGGCAGGCATCCTCAGAGGTTGTGAGGTCTGTTTGAAACTAGGCAAGTGGAGTTTATATAACTGGAATGTCCAGGGTGGGAGAAAGAACTCTTGTCTGTTTGAGGCAAGTGTGAATGTTGCAGTTGGCCACCTTGATTTGCATTAATGGCCTTGCAGCTTCAAAGCCTGGCTGTTTACTGCCTGGGGGGATCATTTCAAAAGGTTTGGCTGTTTACTGCCTGTTGGGAATCCTCCAACAACAAGGATTCCCTGCAGGCAGCTGTATATATTTCTAGCTGACACTTTATAATTATTTCAATATAGTCCATCTTCTTGCTGCTGCGTAAAAATTCAAAGCCTTTTTGTTGGCTGAAATGTGATAGAGTACCCGTATCTCCTACAGTGTACTACAAACCTGCTTAACCTCGCCTAATATGATTTTTATATGTAAAGGATTGCATTCCATAAGTGTCAGCGGAACAACTTGGCAATCCATTCCAACCTCAGATAAGCTGTTCTAAAAAGTTTTGGGACCATTCAGAACAGTATATGTGGTGACACAGTAAACTGACTCCTTTCTTTCTCTTCCTCTTCTTGGGACTGTTTTACTGGATCAAAAAACTTCTCTGGGCAGAAGGACCTCTTCAGTTGGAAGAAGTGAATGCTTGATCCAATCCAAAATACCTTCATGAAGCCATACCCAATAATATTTTCTTAATGCATTTCTTATATTCTCAGCCCCATTTCTAGTTGCAAGGAAGTGTAAACTGGTTTGTTCTAGATGAACCGTTTGTTTTAAACTGGAGCAAAGAATCCATGTTCGAAGGAAGGAAATTATATTCAAATGAACAAAATATTATAAGGATATGGTCAGCAGGAATAATCACATGAGGCAGAGGCAAGCAGACTAGCAGACATGGCCAGGAAACTAAATGTTGTTTGACACAGCCACTTGCTCTTAATCCAAGGAGTATCCCTGATGCTAAATGCGAGCAAGAAGTGATATGGTGATAAAATGCTTTGAAGTCAACAGAACTAGGTGGTAGCAGTTTCAGGGAAAAACTTGATTGGAGAAAAGGTAGAAATAGTACAATACCTGCAGTTGTCAAATACATTTTAAAATTTCCAGTTGTTGGTTTTCAGATCTTACCACTACATAATTCGTTTTTCAAAAGTTTTTTCATTAGCTGTTGAATTGGGATCCTGAAGCATCTGTTTTTATTGAAAACTGGTTTTAATTGTTTGACAGAGGTGTATGGAGTTTTCTATAAGTATAAGACATCACAACAATTGGCAGAAGTACAGGATCCCATCTTCCTTAAAAAGCCATTCCTGGAGCGCAGAGTAATTTCCATATCAGTGTTAATCATTCTTAACCATAACCATGGTTTTTGTGGCATATCAAGGCCCAGCTTTATGGAATGTAGTTTAAGAGCAATCCTGGTTAGCACTAAAAATGGCTAACACTCATAGGTGAGAGGGTATCCTCACAAGAAGGGTTAGAAAGTGGGGAAGGGGGAGTTGTGCTACATGTGAACTGTTTCCTTTCTTTTAGCCATGGTAAGGAGGTCAGAAACGTCTGTAGATATGCTCTACCTGGAAGTGAAGCAAAGATAAGAAAAGGCATCCCTATCAATTCCTACTGAATTGCTGTCAATCCTCCAAACCCTTGTCAGACCCAATTAATATAACGATTAGAATAAAAGAAAATGGAAACAATAGCATTAAAGAGGAGGAGGAATATGATATTCCCTCATAATGATGGGAAATGACAGATCCACGAGGGGTCTTCATTAATAGCCTCACAAACCAAATATTATTTTAAGAAAAGATCAATAGCTATTCTGTATCCCTAAATTGGAGTAAGACAGGAAAAGAAGATTTTGGTGAAGTAATTTTGTCATTTGCATATGGCTATAACAAGCATTGAAGAAACACAACAAAAAGTTCACATCTATAAACTAAACTATGTTGAGAATTTGGTTTACATGAGCATTTTTTTTCTTTTTAAGGCAGATTGCAACCACAACCTGCCAGTATCTTTATAAAAACCTCTCTGTGTGTGTATGTGTGTCTTCAAATCACCTGTTACTTGTGGCAATCCCATAAATTTCATGAAATTTTCGTAGGAAGGAATCCTTAGAAGTAGTTTTGTCAGTTCCTTTCTATAGCACTTGATATTCATTTGCAGTCTTCCATTAAAGTACTAACCAGGGTCAACCTTTCTTAGTTTCCAAGATCACAATAAGGCAGACATTTGGCACATGAAATAGGAGCTCCACTAAACTTTGAAGCTGACGTTTGCTTCCAGAAGGATTGTGTGGGTTCCCTCACACCATTCATGCAAAATAATTGAGAATATTTTTTGCTTACTCTAGGAAATGGAAGCTTTGGGTTTAACCTGCTCTTTGTATCAAGAAGCTATGAAGGGTGTCTGTATAGGCAAATCTATTTTCCTGTGAATTGTTGTTGTGAATAGTCTGCCAGAAATTATTACATTCAATTGGAAAGTTAATATATTTAATTACTTTTAACCTATAGGGAATAGTATAACATTTCTCCCACAATTAAGACTGCAAAAAGTAATTTGTTCCGCAAATACTGCTGACTTCATTTGCAACGGCATCAGCACTCTGTCCTTTTTTATTATGTAAAAACTTATCAACTATTACTATAATATAACAGTATAAAGCAGGGGTCCTCAAACTTTTTAAACAGAGGGCCAGGTCACAGTCCCTCAAACTGTTGGAGGGTCAGATTATAATTTGGGGAAAAAAGAATGAATTTCTATGCACACTGCACATATCTTATTTGTAGTGCAAAAAACATTTAAAAACAATACAATAATTAAAATTAAGAACAATTTTAATAAATATAGACTTGGTATTTCAATGGGAAGTGAGGGCCTGCTTTTGGCTGATGAGATAGGATTGTTGTTGTTGTGTGCTTTCAAGTTGTTTCAGACTTAGGCTGACCCTGAGCGATGGCCGGGTAAATGACCTTGGAGGGCCGTATCTGGTCCTTGGGCCTTAGTTTGAGGACCCGTGGTATAAAGAGTAAAACTAGTATAATGTTTTAGGGGTGAAAAACACATAAGGCATTGACAGCCTTAATCCACCACCATAAAACACACTTCTCATTTTCCCAGAATATTTAGTGGTAGGTGCTTTTGTCTTGTAAAATATAGAATAATAGGTACGGTTGCTTATGTTCAGTTGCACATTTTTTCTGAATGGAAATGTTTAGATATATTGTTATCAAAAAGACTATGAAGGACCTACGGCTGCTAGAGTAATTATCTATCTTGACTTTGACCCAGAGTGATTTGATTCAGCTGGGATATTTTCATGCAGTTTGTTTGTTTGTTTTTTGTTTGTATCTCATCTTTTCCCCATTTTGAGGCTCAAAGAGGCTTACAACAAATTAAAAATCATAAAAATTTAAAAATGTCAACTACTTACAAACATAAACTGTTAAACACACATACATACCCACCTATACCAGCATAATTGACAAGATTGTTAGGTGGAATAGACTTTCCACAATCAATCATTGAATGCATGTCAAAACAGAACAGTCTTTATTTGTTTGCAATAAGAAATTAAGGAGGATGCCAGTTCTCTAGGAAGCGGGCAGTCACTGAAAAGGCCTCCTCCTATATTTCCATCAGATGTAACGTATATACTTGAGTATAAGGTGACCCGAATATAAGCCCAGGCATCTTAATTTTACCACAAAAACTGGAGAAACTTATTGACTTGGATACGTAAACTGAGGATGGGAAATGCAGCAGCTTCTGTTAAATTTCAAAATAAAAATGGATACCAATAAAATTACATTAATTGAGCCATCTCTGCTGAGCCACCGGTGACAGGTTAAAATGTGATGCCTGCTTTTTCTGAATACATACCCTGGCATACAACACTCTCCAAAGGGCAGCAGGTGCACCGAAGACTACAAGTCCCAAGGTGCTTTGGGGCAAAGGCGCCAGCTCTGTCAGCCTCCCTTCTGCCACATTGCCTCCTTGGGAGATGTTGTTTTTGAAGCACTCAGCAGCGTCAGAGCCTGCACTGTGGCCAGGAACAGCAGGTCCTTTCTGTAGGCTTGGCTTGGCTGAGGCAATAAAGTTTCTGCTGTGAGGAGGAAAGGAAGGGAAAGTTTGGAGGGGGGAAGGAACAGAGGAGCGGCGGGCTGGCTTCCTGGCAGGAATTTCCTGGGGTTTGAGTGAGTGAGGGACGGAGGGAGTACCGGAGGGGAAGAGGGAGGAAAGTGCACCTCCCTCCTCCTCAACTCTGCTCACAGCAGCCCAGAGGTGAGGGTACTGGCAGGAAGGTATAGGGCTTAAAGAAGGGCTTTTTCATTCCCACTCCTTCCCGCCAAGACCCTCACTCGAGTATAAGTCAAGGGGGGCTTTTTCAGCCTTAAAAAGGGCTGAATAACTCAGCTTATACTCAAGTATATACAGTACCTATGGAAATGGTGAGACAGAGAGAAGGGTCTACTCAGCAGAACTCCAAACACAAGGAGGTTCAAAAGAGAGAATACGGATCTTCAAACTTGAGCCATATAGGTTCAAAACTAGCACTTTGACTTGGTCCAGAAATAGACTGGCAGCCAGTGCAGCTTCTACAACAAGGGAGTGGTGTGTTCTCCGCAGTTAGCAATGTTTCCGCAACCAGTTGAAGTTTCCAACAACTCTTCAGAGGCAGCCCCACATAGAGTGCATTTCAATAATCCTACTGGGATGTTATGTAAGCACGTGTTGCCATGACCACATCTGACATTTTAAGGAATGTGCAAAACTGGCTTCCGAGCTTTAACAGTGCAAATGGCACTCCTGGATACCCCTGAAACCTGAGTTTCCACACTCAGAGCTGAATACAGACGTACACTCAAGCTGTAAACCTACATCTCCATCCAGCACATGCTGAATCCACATTGCCTGATCTGCCTTCCAGATGACTATGAGCACCTCTGTCTTGATTGAGTTGATTTTCTAGTTGTTCATCCTCTTTTGGTACATTACCGGTGACAGTTTAGAACAAAACGGTTTGTGGAAGAAAGGAGTATATTGAATTGTTTTTACCTTTTGAATGTATTACATTCTCCCCTCTCCCCGCAGTTTTTAATTTCTAGCTTTAAAAAATCAATAGATCTGTGATTTTCAAAGTATAATGGAGTATTAAATGTTGCTTCTTAGCTTAGGAACTGTTTTTTTTTTTTATCATAACACAGCAATCTCTTAGAAGCCTCTCTCTCTCTCTAACAGAAAGAACTGTGCAACATGATACTTGACTGTTGTGCTCAACAGCGAACATATGAGAAATTCTTTGGTTTACTAGCTGGGGTGAGTTGTTTTTTTTAATCCATAGCAGAAGTATCTTTTAGGATGCATTACAAAACTGCTATATTTGCACCAGATGACAACTTTGGAAGCGTAACTCAGCTGTCTTAGATCAGACATCAGCTATTCATATCTCTTCACCTCAAAAAAAGCTTTCCAGCTCATCGGCACTCAGCCATCAAAAGTGTGTGAATCGTCCTTTAGTAACAGGAAACAAAAAGTGAATATTTTGACACCATTCATTTGTGTGCGTTATCAAAATTGAGTGGCATAAAAGCACTTAGGAAGGATAAGCAGAAGCATTTGTTATCCTAGACAGTCAACAGATGTGCTTCCTGTCAGACTTAGTGGGGAGGTCACTGGATTTAAAAGCTTGCCACAATGTGTTCCTCTTTTCTCTTTTGTTTCTGAGACAGACACTTTGCCATCAATGTTTTAAAGCTAGGGCGAGTGTGGATTACTAACTTAAGGCTCATTTAGAAAAGCTGACAGAGCTATAAGCAAGATTTTATTTGTTTCTTTTTTAAAAATCTGAATATTCAAGAATTAATTGATTGTAACATTTTAAAGATTTATCAACCTCCATACTTCTCAACAGAAATCCATTCAATTGGTTGTGGAAGAGCTTTGCCATGGGACCTGAGGCATTGCCTGCCATCAGAAAACATAACTTGCAAAACTCTTTGGATCTTGGCTGTAATGAAAAACCTGAAAGCATGCATATTGTTAAGTTTTGACTATCAATTTTGTTTCTTTTCAGAAATGCGTATATGTATTAAACTAAACAACACACATTTTGGTGCCTCAAATATTAGTCCTGTTTCTGGGTATATTTGACCTGCTGATTCCAAAAATGGCACAAGTTTCCCCCCATCAGCTCAAGTTTTTAAGCTACAGAGCATATGCCATACACCAGTCTTCATCTGCTTGCCCATGAAAAAACCATGATAACCATATCTAAGAAACTAGAGTGGACGTAGCCCATCTAAAGCAATTTTCTGAATCAGTGCCTCAAACAACTCCCAGAACAAACCTAAAAACCAAGACACCAAGATTTTGAGGGGGGAGGGGTTGGGCTATGTTTTCATGTGTAAAATATTTGCTTATACATTATGTTTTCAGTGGCACACATTGATAAAATGTTATGGAAACAGGTTCTCTTATTTGGGGATGCTGTTAAGTTCCATCATATGTTTAAATAAATGTCAAGGAACAAATGGAAGTTTTGATTGAGTATAATCTGCTTATATATGGAAATGGCTTTTTAAAAAAGTGAGGGTTTTTTTTTGTTTTTTTTTGTTTTGCATTTTCAGCGTTTCTGTATGTTGAAAAAAGAATACATGGAAGCGTTCGAAGGCATTTTCAAAGAACAGTATGATACTATCCACCGGCTGGAAACAAACAAGTTGAGGAATGTGGCCAAGATGTTTGCACACCTTTTGTATACAGATTCCCTTCCATGGAGTGTAAGTAAAAAATGTTCTTAGTCTTGCAGGATGTGTATGTAGGATTTGAAAGGGCAAGATGTTGTTTTTCCTCTTTTGAAATACTTCAGACAGAGGTGCTGTCAGTTAAAATTCAGGTCAGAAGCTGAATTCTGCATTGATGTTGGCACTGACAAGGGCCACGAGAGCTTTGAAGTAGACTTACCTTACAACAGAAGTTCAACTAAATTGTTTGGAGAGAGGGTCATGCTTTAAAATGAACTGAAAGAGTCACTGCTGTGTGAAAGTAATACTAAGCCACCTAGTGCACACATTGAAGGATGGGGAAAATAATAAATTGGATTGTTAGAATAGATTTTGAGTGTTTGGCATTAACCTACTACCTCTTCCATTGTTAGGTCCTTGAATGCATAACACTGAGTGAAGAAACAACGACATCATCCAGTAGGATATTTGTGAAGATCTTTTTCCAAGAGCTTAGTGAATATATGGGCCTTCCTAATCTTAATGCAAGATTGAAGGATGAGTAAGTAGAAACCTCATCATGTAAATTAGTCTTGCAGGCAGTCTTCTAGCCTTAGATCTTAATATTATTGAGATCTGTGTGTGTGTGTGTGCGTGTATAACATTGTTATTGCATTCTCATAGAAGTAAATCTAATTGTTGTATATACTTCAGAATATAAACTTTCATTGGAACCGATTTTTAGATAAAAAGTAGTGTTTGTTTTCTTACCCTTTTTCAAAATTATGTTCTCTTTTGAGTAAGAACAGTAATTTTGACACTAAATTCATACATTCCTTGACTTGAATTCAGCATTCCTGTGAGTAGAACTCTACCCGTAGGGTGCTCTCACTGTTGGAAGCTGGAGGAAATCAACTTCTGTTTATTTCTTCTTTCTCCATGTGCCACAAAAATCTCTTCCAGAGTATGAAATAGTGGGAGGAGTTCTTCGCTGAATTGCCGCCCCTTCTATGAAAGGAAGGAATTGACATGTATTTTTAATGCCCATAATATTCCATTGTCCTGAATCATTCCTTATTCTGTAAGGGAAACTTCACAAGTTATTGGTAGTAGTATGAATATTTAAACATGCTTCTTTGGACATCTTTTTAGTTGCGTGAAAGCATTTAATGGAGTAATTCATCCTATTAATAAAGCCAGTTAATTAATCAGATAAAACCAATTAACCTAGTAGTCTACATTATGTCCACAGTTCAAGTATTAACAGTACAGTAAGAATGGAAAATATAATTTGCTATGGGGAATTTTTCTATTACTTATAGAATTTTTTTCCCATTTGACTGATAAAGCTTAAAGGCAGTAGGCTGGTTTTGGATTTCCTGACTTTGTAGAATGGTAGAAAGGAATAGCATCACTTGGGATTCCTTACAAAATCTGTGCTTTTGTTTGAATCTCATACCTGTTTAGCGGATAATACTTGGTCCTTGTAGTACTTGGATGTCTACAAGTCACTTCCAATTTATGCCAAGCCTACGGCAAGCCAATCACAGGGTTTTCATGATATGAATTATCCAGAGGGGGTTTGCCTTGGCCTTTCTCTGAGGTTGAGAGGGTGTGATTTCACCAAGGACACCCAGTGGGTTTCCATTGCAGAATATGAATCCAAGCCCAGCTGTTTCAGAGTCCTAATCCAATATGCAAACCACTGTACTACACTGGCTGTCCTCATCATGGTAAAATAACAACAACAACAACAATAATAATAATAATAATCTGGAATTAACTGGAAAAGCTTACATGATATGAGGATTTAAAGATAGATCTGCAAAGACTCTAGCACCATCCAGTAAAGGTGGTCCCAGTGGTGATGGCCACACTGGGTGTAGTGCCTAAAAACCTTGGCCTGCACTTAAAAACAATTGACACTGACAAAATTAGCATCTGTCAGCTGCAAAAGGTCATCCTACTCTGATCTGTACACATTATTCGCCGATACATCACACTTAGGAAGTGCCTGATGTGTGATCAAATATAAAAGCCAGCATAGTGATTTTGTTTGCTGTGTTCTAATCTTGTTATGTATCAAATAATAATAATCTTTATTTTCCACCACCATCTCCCAGAAGGGACTCGGGGTGGCTTATAAAAGCACTAACAGTGCAACAATACACAAAATGCAATATTATATATACACACACACACACACACACACACACATATAAAGTAAATTTACATACACAATTTAACATAAAAAGATCATTAAAACCCCTATTAATGTAAAAGTTCAGTAAAACACCATGGCTGTGGGTATAAAATAGCTGTAATCAAAATAGTTTTCCTTGTTTCTATTCTGCTGCATCCTGTTATAAAGGAGAGGTGAAAAATAAGAGAAATGTCTCCTTAAAGCAAGTTAACACAAGTGAAAACCTCTCATAGGCTAAAACTCCAGCCTCTCAGACCAACTTTATTACAGGCTCCAAATATCAGCCGCGGAGAGAAATGTAAACCTTGCCAACTGTTAGTATCTCACTGTTGTTTAAATTTCTGGCTTGCCCATATCTATATCCAGGCAGTGTATTAGCAGTAACACAGCAGGATTTCAGACTAGCTTCATCTTTAATTAAGCAGCGAACAGCTGACATTTACCACTGCTTTGTGTTAAGTAAGGAGCCGTGGAAGACGTGAGCCCATCAATACTATGGAAAGTGGCATATCACTACCATACCATCTTCTGCCTACCATAACATTTGTTGGCTTTTATGTTCTTTGCTTCCCTCTACATTATTCCTCTGAATCCTTATAAAGACACTTGTTTCAAAACATTATCTCCATTAGTCGGATTTCAGACCGGGACATGGAACTGAGACAACCATGCGACCTTAGTGGATGATCTCCGCAGAGAGCTCGACAGGGGGAGTGTGTCCCTGTTGGTTCTCCTGGACCTCTCAGCGGCCTTCGATACCATAGACCACAGTATCCTTCTGGGGCGCCTTGTGGGGATGGGTCTTGGTGGTACTATTCTGCAGTGGCTCCAGTCCTTACTGGAGGGTCGTACCCAGAAGGTGTTGCTGGGGGACTCCTGCTCGGCTCCACAGCCATTGTCCTGTGGGGTCCCGCAGGGCTCAGTATTGTCCCCCATGTTGTTTAACATCTACATGAAGCCACTGGGTGAGATCATCCGGAGTTTTGGAGTTCGATGCCATCTGTATGCAGATGACGTCCAACTCTATCACTCATTTCCACCAGATGCTAAGGAGGCTGTCCAAGTCCTGAACCGGTGCCTGGCCGCTGTGACGGTCTGGATGAGGGCAAGCAAATTGAAGTTGAATCTAGACAAGAATCCAGACAAGTTGAATCTAGACAAGACAGAATCTAGACTCTCCTGGCCAGTCACAAGGCCGAACAGGGTATAGGGTCGCAACCTGTGCTGGACGGGGTCACACTCCCCTTGAAGGCACAGGTTTGCAGCTTGGGAGTTCTCCTGGATTCATCACTGAGCCTGGAATCCCAGGTTGCAGCGGTGGCCAGGGGAGCGTTCGCACAATTAACATTTGTGCACCACCTGCGCCCGTACCTTGGGAAGTCAGACTTGGCCACGGTGGTCCACGCTCTCGTTACATCTAGAATAGACTACTGCAACGCACTCTATGTGGGGTTGCCTTTGAAGACTGCTCGGAAGCTTCAAATAGTCCAACGAGAGGCAGCCAGGTTAATAACTGGGGTGGCATACAGGGAGCATACAACTCCCATGTTACGCCAGCTCCACTGGCTGCCAGTTTGCTACCGGGCACAATTCAAAGTGCTGGCTTTGGCCTATAAAGCCCTAAACGGCCCCGGCCCAAATTACCTGTCCGAACGCATCTCCCCTATGAACCATCACAGAGATTAAGATCCGAGGAGGAGGCCCTGCTTTCCATCCCGCCATTGTCACAGATATGATTGGTGGGGACGAGAGACAGGGCCTTCTCGGTGATTGCTCCCCGGCTATGGAACTCCCTTCCCGGTGAGATCACAGGGCCAATTAGATTTGATGCAGATGGCTAGGGCGGTTTTAAATGGTGTATTTTGACAAATGTTTTTTAATGTTTATGTATTGTATGTGAATCCGTGTCCCGGCATTTAATGTTTGCTGTGTATATGCTGTGCTCCGCCCTGAGTACCCTTCGGGGTGAGAAGGGCGGAATATAAATGTTTTAAATAAATAATAAATAAATAAATAGTATAGAGTTTAAATTTTACTCTTTGTCTTGGTTCCCTTATGGCCAAGAAGCAAGTGGCCTCTGTTGATTTTTGTTCTTCATACCAAGAGAACAATTTACTTACTTACTTACTTACTTACTTACTTACTGTATTTATATACCGCCTTTCTCACCCCCGGGGGGACTCAAGGCGGTTTATAACATACTAATGGCAAAAATTCAATGCCAACATACAGTACACAAAGAAATCATAATAACTAATTATTACATATATCTATGACCTTAAAATCAATTGAAACCATTAAACATAAGACATACATAAAATTTAAACATTCAGACAAACATGAAATCATCCTAGTATAAACATTAAAATCCCATGATCCAGAAATCATATACCATAGCCATTCTGAATTATCATTTCACATTGCAAACAAACAAAAAGAGAAAGAACATCTGATATAAAATGTGGACCAGTGACCCTTTCCTTCTGGTTATTTAAACATCTTTTGTCTGATGAAGAAGCTAGCAGAGCTTGGAAAGCTTGCATAATATATTTTGTATATTTTGGTAGGTTTGTGGTTTTGGGATTTTGTTTCAAAGGTCTCCTTAGAATCCTAGCTAGTGGAAGCTCTTCAAGCAAGCATGTTTTTTTTTGTTTTTGTTTTTTGCAACTGCAATAAATAATGATGAATCTAACATCCTTGTACATAATGTTGCTTTGTTAGCTTCCAACATTTATTTATTGGATTACTTATTGGTGTAAAATTTGGGCCCAACATTTATTTATTGGATTACTTATTGGTGTAAAATTTGGGCACTTGTAAAATATATTGAAGTTTTATTTCATTAGGCAGACTGGAGTATTTACTCTGTCCTAACTTGAATGAATAGACGCATTTCACTCTTAACTTTAGAACTCAGGGCAATTGTCAGTGATCTTAAGACTGAGTAAGCCATATATTGTTACTCCACAGTATTATTTTCACAGGCAGATGTGATAGGAAATGCCTTATTCACAAAAACATGTCATGACTGTCAGCATATTGTATTGATCAGCCTAAGATTACTAACTATAGTAAAGGGTAAAATGCTAATCCCCCCTTTATTTTTTGAATTTAGTAAATATTTTACAATTTCTATAGATTTTTTTCAGTGCAATGAAACTGTGTAAAAAATACTTAATTTCTTTTTTGCCACGGAACACTTCTTTAATTAGATTACACATTTCTACAAATGTGGATGCTTTGGAAGTGGAAATACTTTGCTTTTTTGTTTCCTGAAAAAGGTTATTTATTGTGACATTTCTCATTTCTGAATTTCAAGGTTATGTTTATGTTTTACTTTGAGATATAATTCCTGTATTTGTTTTGTACCAGAACTCTGCAGCCATTCTTTGAAGGATTGTTACCTCGGGATAATCCAAGAAATACTAGATTTGCCATCAATTTCTTCACTTCAATTGGACTTGGTGGATTGACGTAAGAGAACCTAGTTTATTGCATATGTACATGCTTCCATGCATACATTCCTGAGATTCTGACACAAGATGAAATCAAATGATAACTGCCTCTGATTAAGCCCATAATATACATAATATATTTCCTCGATTCTAAGATGCACCTCTAAAAATAAGGTGTGTTTTAGAATTGCAGGTTATCTTATATATTTGTGGTGGTGGTATTAAAATTAGGATGCATTTTACAATTATGGTGAATTCTAATTGAAGAAATATGGTAGTAGAGGACAATATGTCCCCTTCAAGCTTGCCCTACATTCTCTCTCTCTAAAATCCATGCTCATAATCCCATATTGAAGTCATCATCACAGTGAACACTGGGGAGCTGAGAATATGCTCTTATCTTCAACATGCATAAACCCTATTCAAAATATAATTGTAATAATAATAATAATACCTGCATTTCCCTGTGAATTAGTAATTTGAAACATTACACCTGTGTGGACAATCAGCCATCTTGGTAGTAGGAAATGACTCTGTGTGTGGGTTAGAGCTAAAACTAGATCTAATCCTGGGGAGGAGCTAGACACATCCAAAAAAGTAATGGTAAAGACATTTGGGGCATAGATAAAATGACAACAAAACTTGATGTGAGATAAACCTGTGGTTACAAATGCATATCCATTTTGTCTACCTTCATCTATTTATTTCCATAGGGATGAGCTACGTGAGCATCTGAAAAATGCACCCAAAATCATCATGACACAGAAGCAAGACGTGGAGTCATCTGATTCATCTTCATCCTCAGAATCCGATTCAGATGAAGATGCTGGCAGTAGTAGCAGCAGCAGTGATACCTCAGGGTCCTCCAGCGAGAGCAAATCATCTTCTGACAGCAATCACAGCAGTGACTCTGGTATTAAATTTTATCTGTCATCCATCTTTTTTATTTAATTGCATACTCTAATTCACTTGGACTGAGGAAAAATGATGATGACTACGTATTAATGTGTCAATGTCTCTGGCTTTGAGGTAAAGGTTTTGCAGCAGGGAGTTGTTAGTTGAAATTAACAGGAATCTTCAAATAACACTGTAATGCATTTTTGTTCCTGAGTTATAAATGTCATTTCCTAATTGGTTTTATCACTAAAACAAGGAAAATGTTTATTAAATTGCAAAACTTCATTTTTGTGGGACATTGTGAAGCACATTTTGCTCTATGTTTTCAATAAATATATCATAGAGTATCAACCCATTCAACATAGTTTGTGGCAGCCACAAAAACAAAGTTTCTGGAGTAGAACAACTATTTTCAAAGTAACTACTGCACCATTAAACAGGAAATAATACTATCAAACCAATATTAGTCTTAAGAAATCAGTACATGGTACATGTAAATCATTTTGAGAGGATCTGGGCAGTTCTGCTAGGAGACTTGATTGTATGAAGTGGACAAATAATACAGGCAAATGAATATTTTCAGTTTTTCTTTGGATAAGCCATATTACCTGTGCCGAGACTTGTCCATCATGTTTTCCTCAGTTCAGTCTTGTAAGGTTTTATTCTAAAGTGTGTTAGTTGCCTTAATAAACTAAAAACTCTCAAGGTGTTAAGCGATCAAAATCTATTTTAAAAAAATCTTTAAAAATCAGAAACAACACAACAAACCATCAGAAGTATATGCGGTTTCAATAGAAGGACATGCATTCAAATTCGTTTACAGCTGTCAGTGATGTATTGCTTACCATACTGAGTGTATTACTACTACTACTACTATGTTTATTTATATCCAGCCTTCTCTCTCTCCATACAGAGACTCAAAAGTGGCTCACAATTAAAAGTATTACAATAAAACTTAACATATACAATATACAAATATCAAAATAGTATTAAACATCATTAATATTGAAAACAATTCAAGTTAAAACCATAAAACATATACCACCATAGCACCCCGTGACTTAAACACCTTCATCTTTAAATGCCTGTCTGAATAAAAAACGTTTAGCCTGCTGCTAGAAGGACAGCAGGGAAGAGCCCATTCTGGCTTCCCTGGGCAGGGAGTTCTAGAGTTGAGAGGCAGCTACCGAGAAGGCCCTCTCTCTTGTTCCCACCAACTGAGCTTGAAATGCAAGCTCGTATTAAGCTACAAGAAGAAGCAGGGTTTTTTGTTCCTCTTTTGTCAGTGAAATATAAAATGGAGCTCTTTATCTTAGGCATAGTTACATGATTTACTGTATTAATGGTAGTATATGGCAGTTCAACTAATATAATTTAATGTTGAAGCACCTTGTGTTGTGTTTCGTTTTGTCTCAGATTCCATTGCTTGACAGCATGCTAAATAGTCACTTCCATATTATGATTAATATTTCTGAGCAAAAGTCTTCTTGCCGATTTTTCCCACTTAGCTGACGTGAAATATCATGAACGTTGTTAATCCAAAAGAGTGCCTGCTAGTACACTTCGGAGTCTCTCTGTGCTCAATTGTGAGAGCAGATGATCGCCCAGCGTGAGCTTCTGCCTTTCAAAAACATGCTGATTGGAAACAAATTTGATCCGCTGACTGTTTTAAAAGGAAACATCTTCTAGTTCACAAATATAGCATATACTCAGTATGCCACAAAGGAGACCTATTACAATTTGTTTTAAGTTCACTTTATGCTGCCTATAACTACAAATCAAATACATCAGAAACACCACAGCACTCAAGGCAGACATAATGGAGCGGGGTCAAAAAAGTGGCATTTCAGCAGAGAGCCAGATGGCTTAAGAACAGACAGCTGCAGCGAGAGGGGAACCAGGGTGGTAAGCCCTTAGTGACAAATTATCAAAGTCTGTTAGCATGATCATAGCTTTTTTTAAATGACTTCTATTTGGGTATTTTTTTTTCATTTAATACATTCTATTTTAATGTTTTGTCTTTATTCCATTGGGAAAACAAATTCTGTAATGAAGCATTTTGATAGTCTCAGCAGTGTTCTGGTCTCTCCCTCCACCCTTTTCTTTTGTACACCACAAGCAGAAATAATGCCAGAATGATTAAATGCAGCAGTATTTATACAGCCTGATGTGCAAGAGCTAGCTTATATCTCTGCAGTATTTTGGGCAGAGTATGTTGACTTAGTGAAAACTGGGTATTCAAACAGTCTTTTTTAAAAAAAAATGCTGTGATTTTACAAAAAGAGTCCACTGTATTTTAGAGATTTTTCTGCTTCCCTTGCCCCCATCCATTTTTTTATTTTATTTTGATGTGACTTCATAGTGGCTTGTTATCAAAGTTACATTGACCATCATAAAATTCAGTGACATTCACATCTCACTATGGTTTAGAACAATTTTTAAAGTGGTTGCCTTAGATTTTCTCATCATTGATGTTAATCCAGCACATCTTTTGCAATGGGATGAAAAGCTGTGTTTTATGTTTGAACAATAAATAAATAAATAAATACTTGTATTTATAGACCACCCTTTCTCCCCAAGGGGACTCAGGGTGGTTTATATGTAAAAAAAGGCAAATATTCAATGCTGTAGTCTAATTCACACAAATCAAAATAATAACATCAGAAAACTTACAATTAAAGAGGAAATAGAATTAGATTTAAGATAATAAAGGCAAATACAAACATTTAAATAAAACATAGTTACATTAATAAAACATAAATTACACTAAAAACATGGGCCCCAGACAACTAGACAATTAAGATGTATAACAATGCCTAATGTCAGTTGTAATTTAATATGAACCATAGCAGCCATAAAAGAGAATATATTAGCCAGCATTCCAGTGGGATTAGTGTGCTAGTCCTCCTCCTCTCCATACGCTAAAGTGCATAAGTGCATTTTAGAATTTTTTTAAAAGGAGAGGAGGGCAGGACCATTTTTATTTCTTTGGGAAAGGAGTTCCAGAAACAGGGATGTATCACAGAGAAGGCCCCCTTTCTCGCTCCCATCAGTTGTGACAGGGGTGGGACGGAGAGCAAGGTCTCCTCCGCTGACCCAGTGCACAAGATGGTCCATATAGGGAGATGTGATTAGACAAATAGCCTGGACCTGAATCATTTAGGGCTGTACTTTGTATTTAGCCCAGCACTTTGTATTTAGCCCAGCACTTTGTATTTAGCCCAGGAGCAGACCAGCAACCAGTGGAGCTGCCATAACATGGGAGTGGTTTTCTCCCTGCGCGGAGCCCCAGTTAGTAACCTGGCTGCCAATCTCTGCACTAGCTGTAACTTTCAAAGTATCTTAAAAGGCAGCCCCATGTAGAGTGTTGCAGTAGTCCAAATGGGATGTGACTACTGCGTGGACTACTATGGCCAAGTCAGGTGTCTCAAGGTATGGGCGCAGCTAGCTCACAAGTTTTAATTGTGCAAAGACCTCCAACACCAGGGGTTCCAGGGTCAGCAATGAGTTCAGCATTACCTGTGAACCCATCAGAGGGGTTATGAAAGCTCTAGATGTGTTAATTACAAAGTAATTAATTAAGAAAAGCCATTCATTGAAACCCCAGTGTATCCAAACTATATTTTACTTAATAATTGTGGAATAAATTGTTGCCTTTAGCTAAGAAGGTTAAAAGTGTATAGTTATGTGGGGAAGGCAGAGTGAGGACCAAAATCTGATCAGCTGGTTCCTTGTTTCTTGTGCTACAGGAAGTCAGGAGATCATAATCTGTTTTCAAAAGTGTGTCGTGTAGTCACCTTTTTGTCCCATTAGTAAATCTGTTATTGCGGATGGTAAAAGTAACTTTATTTATCTTGTTAATTCATGTTTTAGGTAAAGTTCTTAATCATTAGAACACATGGAAGTGCTCCTCTTGCAGTAAATAAATATCTCAGTGTTAGGTTTCTAGATCAAAATTTGTACCAAACACATTTCCCACAGTACTTGTCACTGTATCATCAAATTGCATATTAGACTCTTGAAAATGTCAGTTTCATGGTAAATATTGAATAAAGTGCCTAAGGACAAGTTAAAGTTTAACACAGCAGGACTGGGAAAATGTAAAAAGAAAGGCAAAACAAGGCAGTGCATCATAAAATATTGTATAGCCCAAATTAATGGGACAGCTCTGTGGATTTTGCAGTCCATAAATCATTATTTTGTAAAATTGGTATGCTCTTTCAAAACAGAAAAATATTTTGGCATCTTTCAAATCTATAGAAGTAGTATATGGATAGGTCATTATTGTTAATTGGTGTTGAGCATTTTATATTCAGCTATGACTTTCCATTACTTCGCTTCAATTACGCAAATTTCTTATCCTTGATGGAATTGGAATGTTCCAATTATAAAACACTTTATTTGTTTAGCAATATAATTTAAAGTCTGATAATTTATTATTGCTGTTACCATTTAGTTTCAGTGGAATGAAAGGAGAAAGGCTGTTTCGCTTCAAGTTAAAGGCAGCTGAATCGCTGCCAGTTCATTCAGCTGCCTTTATGAGTCTGTAGGAAGTGAGAGGGTGGACCGTGTCAGTACTATGTGGGTGTTTGTTTTGCTAAACATGATTGCCCAAATTGAAGAGCAAACTAAATTATTTTCATGTGTTTTGTAAATCTTCTAGTTCAGAGACAGAAACGAATGCATCAAGCTTTCCAGCTAGCAAACATCCTAATCATAGGATGTTATTTAAAAATACCTGTATTCTTAGTAATATTTTGAATCCAAAGTTTATGCAGGTGGGGTGTTATTTTGTATGACCTCGCACTTTGTACAGAAAACCAAGAGAGCTTTTAGAGTAGCTTATGGGGGGAAAGTCTCTACTTGTGTGAGATCTCCGGATTAAGTCTGATATATTTTGACATATAAATTAAGGAAAATACATACCCTATTTTTTTTTTCAAATCTTTTCAGATGTGAGAAGGAAGAAATCACAAAAGAGGAAAACATCAGACAAAGATGCTAAGAGAAAAGAAGAAAGTAGAAAGAAACATCTTGAAAAGAAAAAGGAAGGACGAGAGTTGGAGAGGGAAAACGGTACTGAGAGAAACCCAGGAAGGAATGCTGACAGATATCCAAGAGACTCAAATAGGAGAGAAGAAGCATCACAGAAACTCTCCTATGACAGAGATTATTCTGGTGACAGGAACAGTTACTGGAGTGGAAAGGACAGGGATCAAGAAAGAAATATGCCTTTTGAAAGCAAAACTAGCCAGTCTAAAAAGAAACAGGCAGAAAGAAGAAATTCTTTTTCTGATGATGAAGGGAGGGATAGGCACCGCAATAAGGACAGGGAAGGGGAGCTCCCGAGACGGAGAAAGAACAGATCCAGTTCGCGAGAGAGACCCCGTAGCTATCCCAGCCCCAGAGAGGAGGAGGAGGAACGTGCCCGATACCAGGACCAATTTAAAGAGTCAAGGAGAGAGGAAGGCAGGAGAAGACATAGGGGGGACTCCCCACGTAGGCGCAAATGACTCTTGTAGAGAGCTTTTGAAACATTACTTTTTGGTTGGATTTTTACAACATGCTGGACATTTTTTGAAAAGGACCTTTTGTACAAATTTCTTGTAACTCTTTGAACCTTTTGATGTCTTCAGAACTCCATCTTTGTACGATCGTTGTTAATGGTGGAAGCTGTTGGCTAAGCTACTCTTTCGAGGTGTTTGAATGCAAAAGAAATCAAATTCAGCTTATTTTGTCAATAAAATCTAGCTAAAATGTATTTCATTGCAATATTTGTGTTTTAAAAACATCAGTATATTTTATGCATGTCCCCTGAAAGTGCTAAACAAGCCTTCGCTTGCTTTGTTTATATGACATCGTGATTTAGTACATATGTTGAAAAGTTTCATTTCCGAAACAACAGGCCCTTTGTCTAAGCATGAACTTTGAAGATGTGCACAGTGATAGTTGGGCTTTTGTTTTGGTTTGGTTTTTTTGGAGGGGGGTTGTTTTGTTTGTTTTGCTTTTGATGCTGAAATGGAAGGGCGGAGTATTTGGATTTGATGAGAAAAATACAAAACTATGGTATGAAATTGAAAACATTATTTCCCTAAGCCCAGTTGAACGGTAGTGCTCAAGAAATCCATGTTAGTTTAAATAACACAAATTTGCCACTGCTTGCTGTTGGACACATTGTGATCCTATGTGCCTTGCTCTTGAGTATTTTTTTTTCATGTCAGGAGCGACTTGAGAAACTGAAAGTTGCTCCTGGTATGAGAGAATTGGCTCTCTGCAAGGACGTTACCCAGGGGACGCCCTGATGTTTTACCATCCTGTGGGAGGCTTCTCTCGTGTCCCCGCATGAAAAGCTGGAGCTGACAGATGGGGCTCACTCTGCACCCTTGATTTGAACCACCAACCTTTCAGTCAGCAGTCTTACCGGCAGAAGGGTTTAACCCATTGCACCAGGGGGCTCCTGCTTGAGTAATGGAGTTTGTATGCCCCATTGTGTGGAGTGGCAACACTGTCAAACTAATGGTGCAATGGTTCCCCTATAAAGAAGTTGGCTCAATAGTATCTAGGACCAAGTTTCATTGGCTAGAGGATAAAGTTCAAAGCACGATTGTGAAATTGTATAGGCCAAATGAGCAGCATTAGGAACTTTGTTAATGGACCATATTGTGCTATCACTTGGAGACAGTTGTGAATGTCCACCAGTAATAGACAGGCAGCTAATAAAACTTACATTTTTATTTAGTGCTTTGGAATATATAGTTTAGTAGTTGAAAATAGCAGTTTTCCCATCCAGGTAATACTGCTATAAAGATGACTTTTGGTTATAGGATAAAGATTGCCATTTTATGAGTTCCTCTTTCATAACTCACAAAAAGAAAGCATTCGCAGGTTAGTTTGCCTTTTTTAAACCTGGGTTCAAGGGCTACAAGAATTACACGAAGATGGCTTGTGTGTTATATAATATGCATTTGCTACTGCCGAAAAATGTTTGTATTTTTATTTATGTATGGCTGAATTATAATTGATATTTTAAAATTGTACTTTCTTAACCAAAAAAAAAACCCCTCTGTGTAGCTTTTTCTGAAACAGAGTTATCAGGTACTTGTCTGATATTTTAGCTTTTTCACAGAATATACTTTTTCTTGTTGCATTTACCTCACAAGATAATTTTTTCTCATTCACTGAACAAAGATTTCAGTCACTGCAGCTGTCTTCGACTGATGATCGCTTCTAGACTTAATGATGGATATTTCAATAGTTCTCATGTCTTTGTGCTGCAAATTATCTTGGTTTTTTTTTTAATCCAATTTACCCCAAGAACTCATGTCAAAATACATCAGTTATAAAGTACAAAAAAGGTTTTAGTATCTGAGCAAAAATGGTGGCAATCTCCAACACTGTAATTGTTATGAGGAACCGATGGACTATTTAGGGAGGACAACTCTCTCTTCCCCCCAATACCAAAAAAACCTGTTCTTGGTATCACTAATTATATCATACTGTAGCTGTAAGGAGCAGTGTTCTTCTGGAATAGGGTACATCTTGCTACTCCTAAAAAAAGATGCTTCTACTAGGTAGAGAGCACCTTTCTCCATCTTAGGCTATCCAGACTGTCAGTGTTATTTGGAGCCAATCCCAAATCGGTCTCAGCTTTGATCTGATTTGAGAGCAAGAAAATATACTATGTTCATAATTTTGATACGAATAGGCTAGAACCAAACTGAAACTGCTACTGTTATCCCAGAAGAGCTTTGCACTTGTTTTTTTCTTTCCTGAGTCTTAAGTGCAAGGAAGCCCTTTTCCTTAAGCACAATCTGCTAGTGGGATCCAAGGATTGTCTTCATACAAAAGAATTCTTTTGATGCATTCTGTTGAGTTTAATCTACCATCTTTTGACAAAAGATGGCTTCTCAAGCAATTTTTCTCAATGTGTCAGGAATCACAACTATATCTGTGCCCATGCTTATTGTATTAACACTGTCTTACCAAAAGTTAGCACTGTAAAGTAAGATTACTCCAAAATAAGGATGAACGTCTAAATTTTCATAAATAAATGTGATTGGATAGGTAGAACTCAAATGCCATTTACCATACACCTTTTTGGCTGAATTATCTCTCCAAAATTAGGGTGTACATTAGATTTGATGGCATGTTAAGTAGTAGAGGACATTTCAATTTGAAGAAGAAAGCCCATTGTCTTCTATGGCAGGCATGGGCAAACTAAGGCCCAGGGGCTGGATGCGGCCCCCGGGGCGATTACCTCAGGCCCTCCTAATTTTCCTTGTCCTTTTGGCATAAGGACACGGTGGCCTGCCGCATCCTTATGCCAAAAAGAAGAGGGAGGAAAGCACACAGCAGCTGAGAGCCCTCTGGAGGACTCAGCCACCATGCATCTCGTCCTCCTCCCGGCATAAGGATGGTGCAAGCGTCCCCATCCTTATGCCAGTAGGACGGCTCAAGCAAAGTATGTGGTGGTTGAGAGCCCTCCAGAGCACTCAGCCACCACCTGTCTCACCCTCCTCCCAGCAAAATACCAAGAGGATAGTCTGAGGATCGAGAGGAGGATCATGAGGGAGAATCAGGGCAGTTGCTGTATGTCTTGCCTTTCTCCCAGCATAAGGATAATGTGACCTGCCCTGTCCTTATGGTGGGAGGACAACCTGAGGATGACCCAGGCCCTCCCACTCCCTCCTGGCCCGGCCCACAATGTGGCCCCAAGGCAAAAAAGTTTGCCCATGCCTGTTCTATGGCATCAAGTAGTAATTAATGAATCAAATGCGCAATGATTTGTTTTAACAAATGTAAGGAGGCTGCAGAAGAAAAAAAATCCTATTTTATTAACATTGTCTTACCAAAAGTTAGCACTGTAAAATAAGATTACTCCAAAATGAAGGATGAACCTCTAAATTTTCATAAATAAATCTGATTGGATAGGGTAGAACTCAAATGCCATTTATCATATTTATTGAAGTCTTAACATACACCTTTTTTGGCTGAAGTACCTCTCCAAAATTAGGGTGCGCATTAGATTTGATGGCATGTTCAGAATCGCATTTGCCAGACAGGCTTGCTCTTTAAGGCACTGTTTAGGGTGTGATCACTGTGACGGTAGAATCCCAGGCTGGGTGAACAAAGGCTTGGCCTGCACTGTTTCTCCCTGGGAAACCTGGCCAATTGGGCTGCCTTCACCCACGTGGAGCCTCAGTTTGGGAAAGCAGCACCTCATCACAGTACGTGAAAGGGGAGGAGATGGTAGCTGTCGATGGAAGGAGGCGAGTAGATCCTGGAGGACCTGTTGGCTGTTCCCAGCCTCTGATGTGACCTTGCCTGCACTGTTGGGCACATTGCGTTCAACAGCATATCCCTTTTCGAGTTTCATGGTTTTCAAAATGAGGTATGCATTACATGCAATGGCACACTAGACTTGAGTAAATATGGTGACTCCTGTCTGCTTTGCATTGCTCTTATTCAAGCTCCTTGTTATGAAATATTCTGAAACCTTGGAGAAGGAGAAAGCATGAGTGGAGGGGGAGCACACCAATTCCACCACTCAGTTGTTGTTTCTATGGCTTCAATACAAATGGGAAACAACCATTTGAAGAAGAGAACTTCAAATTTCCCAGTAATTGAGAATACTTCCAGAGATAAAGTTAACATTCAGAAATAAAGGATGCTCTCCTCTTCGATCTCATTCTACATGCAGGATGCAGATGTCAATACTACCCTCGTTCCACATTACTTTATTCAGGCTTCATAATGCCTAAATAGACTTTTAACAGCTTTACAAGCTTTTAACAAATGATATCTGAGTTTATTCTTACTCCTTTTTCTGCCATGCCTTTTCAATTGTAAAGCTTGAAGGCAAAGGCAGTCTTGTTTTTCATGCTTCCACAGCACTCAGTAAAATTTAGCTATTTTATAAATGATGGATGAGAATAACTTTTTACTATGAGGCCTTCAATTTACAAGCATCGCCTGTAAAAATAATCCAAAGGAAAATCAGTACTAAACAGTAAATAAAGAAAATAATGGCAGCAAATAGAGAAAAGTTGGATGTTAATGGGTAATTGGAATATTTCTATTAAAAGCTACAAAGCATTATAGTCCACAGATATGTAAACCTTACTTGCCTAGTTTCCAACAGACCTCACAACCTCTGAGGATGCCTGCCATAGATGGGGGTGAAATGCTAGCCTGGAAAACAGCAACCCAGTAATTCCAGCCTTCGACAACACATTTAATGGAAAGATCCCAATCTTCCCTGATAGCACTGCATTAGGTTCATGGCCCCAAGTGCAGTCCCAAGGTATTAAAGGGTGTTTGCACCACATTTGGAGACCCCTGTTTTCCCCAGATCACAAAGATATTTTTGGTAGTGAGATTGCCTGAAATGCTCAGGGGCATGGGATGCGTTTCTATGACATTGCAAGTCTGGAAAAGGACTTTTAAAAACAAGCATTTAGGGCAATCTTCAGTTTGTCAAAGGCTTTCATGGCTGGAATCACTGGGTTGTGGAAGTTTTCTGGGCCTTATGGCCATGTTCCTTTTTGTTTTTGCAGGAGCAGGTATCCTCGGGTCTAATGCAAACCCTAGCCTTCCAACAGTTGCCCAGCCTTGATCTAAAGCAGTGGTTCCCAACCTTTTTTTGACCAGGGACCACTTTGACCAGGGCCCCTCTCCAACATTAGTACCAAAAGGGTTATGAATCAGTTTTTGGTCAGCTTTAGATTCAGTTTGGGGCACTGATTCAGAAAATTGCATTGG